AATCCTAAGTATCTTGGGACCTGAAGCTGAAAGGGGTCCTTTTTGAGGTCCAACCTCTTCCAATTTCAGATCCAGACAGCCTGCCAGACAGCTCCAATGGATCCAATGAATGCTTGGGAATGGCGGCTTGGAGGACCATACTCATCACTGGCGGTTGCCACCAGTGGGAAGTTCATACAGCGGCTCACTGATGAAAGTTTCTTTGCCGGGGGGGTTCTTATTTCAGGTTTCTAGGCTTTGATTCCCCGTTCTTTTCAACCATCGTTCTTTTCAAAGCCCAGCTGTTTTTCCTGGTTTTGAAATCCTTCGGGCTAGGGCAGGTTGGTGAGGTATCATTGCTTTGTTAAGCATGCTTGCCTGCCGTTGTGCCTTTTTGGTCAAGCCGGACCGGACAGCTTGGCTAAGATTTGTTTTTCTGCCCCTCCCGTGCCATGGCTGGGTCAGAGGCCCTTGTGCGCCATGACGCTCTCAAGGCACTGGTGCGAGGAGCAGGGCATCGGCACCTTTCTCGGATCTGGCGTTCTTCTTGTCGAATGACGCTGGCCGAGCCGGAGGCCTGGAAGGCTTCAGCCATTGGGATTGGCCTGGTGGCCATGGAGCGGGGCCTCTTCAGGGCCGAAGAGGCAGGCCAACCCGACCGGATGATGCTACTTCTCCCAACGATCAGAGGAGCTTTGGCAACACGGCGTGACCTGGACCAGCACCACCTTGCTGACGTCATGAAGAACAGCCCAAGCCGGGGCCAGAGCTGTCATGGTCGGTTGCGCGGATGATGGACATCCCCAAGAAGGCCAGCGCTGTTGGGGGCGCCCCGCCAGCTCGCCAACTTTTGCGGCGGTGAACGCGGAGTTTGATAGGACATCGCGGCAACCCGGAGCCACCGCGCTGGCTACGGACCCGGGGCATCAGCTTGCTGGTGGGTGGCATGAGCAGCCGGGAGGAGTCGCCGTCTGGCGAATCCTGTCAACCCTGAGGGCAGGACAAAGGGTCCTAACGCATTGCAAAGCTGCGCAGGCCCCCTCCTTATTGGGGGTGATCCTGGCGTGGCTGGTGGGGAGGAGAAAAGGAAAGCGCATTGCTTTTGACTTCAGGCTCGGGCAGGCTGGTGAGGCATCATTGCTTTGTTAAGCATGCTTGCCTGCCGTCGTACCTATTGGGCACCCTGCCCCATACCCCACGTGTATCCTTCAATGGTTGGGCCTTGTCTGGGCGGCCAGCATGCTCCTCCTATGTTAGAGTATGTGCAACCGGGAACCGGTCATGTGTGCCCTTGTCGGGGGTGTGTCCGGGACACGGACCCGGCAGACCGGGACTCCGAGGAGAAATGGAAAGCAAGTTCATCGAATGGGCTTATGATTGAGTGGACGTCCGACGCGCGCCCAGGTTGTCCTGAGGCGATTGTCGCCACGGACATGTCTGCCGCCAGGCCACTCCGGGCGTGGAGAACTCATTGGCAATTTGTAAATGTTATGGGGCCAGCTAAGACTATGTGTGAGTGTGGCCTAGTAGCAACTGCTCACCTCATTTCGTGGTATCGTGGGCCCTTTGGCGACGCACTCTGACAATGAACATTTGGTAAATTGAAGCTTTCTGGGGAGAGTTCCAGCCAGAAATAGGCGCCACCCTTCTGGTTGAACGCCAGGTTTTGATTGTGACTCCCGCGTTTTGACAAGTCAGGCGCAGTCAGCGCAATAAAAGCTTGCACAGTCGTCGATTTCACCATCGTGAAGGGGACTTCAGATCATCACCTCATGCCGCCAACAGATGTTAATGTCGGCTTTGGACATAGTGACCTGCGACTGCTGCCTGCTTACTGGGAAGCGCTCGGCCAGTAACCCACGGTGGGTGTGATAAACGTGTAGTAACTCAGGTGACCGAAACACTCCGAGAAGAAAGAGAACTAGAATCAGATGCTGCACCTTCGTGTTTTCCGCTGAAAGCTGCCCTGCTTGCAGCTCAAACAATGCAACTCAGAAATGACGGAAGTGACAGAAAGGCCTGTGCGCCCAGCTCGCTGCTTGACATCGGTCCTCCCAGTGTTGCATTAGTGACTATTGCGAGAGCAAATGAGTGTGTTCCCTTTGAACCGATACCCGAAAGAGCGTGCGCATGAATTGGTCTTAGATTGGGGGTCCTTGTTCCCTGGCAATATGTGGGGTCTCCCTTGTCTGGGGATACCCGTTTCGGGGTTGCTGAACATGACGCCATAAGGAAAACCACCATGATTGATTTCCAAAGAGCACACGGGAAACTTTAAAATTGGGTTGTCCCGTTTTTGTTTCTTTGTATCAAGCGCGTTGCTTTTTCAGGCACACCCACAAAGCAGCCTCCGCAGGAACGCGTTGGCCATCACGAAGAAAGAGATGGCGGATAACGGGGAGGACGAGAGACACCAGGCAGGGCTTGGCTTTGTATATATATATATATATATACAGCATTATTATCAGTACTATTATTAATGATTATTTTTTTGTATTATTACTAGTGTTATTATTTTATTATTATGATTACTATTAGTATATGTTTCTCTTGGGCGGTGGTTGAGCGGCTTCTCGATTCCACAAGTCCTTGGGCTATATAGATCTGGCTTTGAGTGGGCTCAGTCCAGTCCCCTATGCCTGGGTATCCATGTTAAGGTGTGCTCCTGTTGGTTTCCCTCCAAACCCATTCTTAAAAAATAAAAAGACACATGCTCAGAAAGGGTGGTTCTCAACACGGCGGGCCCCCGATTGATACTTTGAGGGGAAGCCACAAGTTGTTTCCACTATTTTGAGAAACACACATGTTTCCATTGTTGCTGGGTTTTAAGCAGCACCTTCTTGGCGCATGTAAGGTGAGCCCCCCTGGGTAGGGTTGATGTCTTTAAAGGGAAATATGGGGAACCTTGTCAACCCCAGGTCTTTATGCAGATTCGTGGAGTAATGAACGAGCTTCCTTATATGTCCTCTTTGAGTATCACCTGTTCTGGCTACCATTTCAGGAGTCTCCTTTGGGTGATGCGCAAAGGGGACATATAAGAAACCTTGTAGAAATCCATATCCATCGTGAAAACCAAACTTGGCCGAGCAAGTGAGCAACTAACCCGACTCAGGATCAGGAGATTCATAGCCAGAAGTCCCTATGGTTGCCGTTTATGGGCTGGTTTTAAGCATCGCCTCTCGCCTGTTGGCTGCGAGCTTGCATTGGGTTGGCTTATGTTGGCTTGGATGGAGAAAGCCACTTTAGGAAGCAGTGTTGTCAGTGTGGGTAGGTCTGCTTGTTGTTGTTGTTTTCGAGTTTTGTTGTGTTTTTTGGTGGGAAGTGACGATTTTGAATGGTTTTGAAGGAACACCATAGGGAACCAAAATACCCATTTGGGTCCCCGGTTGTGTCTAACCAAGCAGTCATAAGCATCCTTGGCTAATTCTTTCAGAATCCACTCTATAGCACATCAAAACCCGCTAGACGAGTGGCTCTGGAGGAGTTTCTGGAATGCCTCGAGTTCATCCTTGGAGAGCCTAGCGTCTTGAGGCCATCTTTCGCTTCGATCGCAAACATGTTTTGGTTTCGACATGCAGAGAGCGACGCAATGCCGGGGCGGGGGGGTGAGCGTTGTTTGCGTGTTGTTTGCAGTCTGTTGTTTTTCCCGGGCAGGCACGGGCGGCGGAGGTTGTGTTTGGATCCAGTGAAGTCTGAGCCTGGGTTGAGCAAACCACTGCTTCCATTAAAGTTAAGCTACAAATGAGGGGCCGAGTCACTTTTGGGATTCCTTTTTAAAGGGACACATCCACCACGGTCAAAACACCCTTTCGTGCTGGGGACGGTCATCAATCCTTTTAAGGAGTTTAGGCAGGTCCTTTTTCAACGACCTGACCATGGCCAACATGTGTTCAAAATGGGGTCACCACCGAAAACGGGTGGCGTTTCCTGTGGTTTGCCCTTGCATACCAACCCTACAGGGGCTCCCCTAAAATGCAATGACACCAGGAGGTTTGATCCACGTGAGCCGGCGGGTTGGGCGTGGCAGGAGGAATCTCAGCCCCAGGATCTCGGCGAAGGACGTATGCAGAAAGCTTGAAACGCTGACTGGCTTAGCGATTGGACCCACAGGGAGCAGGGAGCCAAATAATGAGGCCATATGGGTGGCTCCTTTTTTGGGGGGGGGACCCCTTGTTGGTCGGTTTTAAAAGGGTTTAAAAGGGAAACGAAAAGGAACACCACCATGTTTGAACGTCCCCTAAAGAAAGACACACCCATATGAATCCGTAGAGAATGACAAGGGAACCATGGGGAACCACAGGGAACCATTTGGAACCAGTTCGGGCGGTCTTGTCCCCTGGCTTTGTGCTTCGCCTTTTGTGGTTTGAACAAGACCGTTTGTTTCAAACGATTTAAGTTCCCTGTGTGCCCCTTTTGGTGATTTGTAAGGATCAAAACCACTGGATTCTTGATTACGGGGAATTGTAAGGAACCTTGCAATTAAGTGCTAGAGTTGGGCATTTCAAGTGACTAAGATAGTTAAGGGGCTTATGCTAAAAAAGGAAAAAAAAAAACTCAATTTGGCAGTGGTATATTCAGAAACTCAAATGGGTTTCCTGGTTCGGAGCTCCGAGAAACCGACGCGGCTTGCTCCACTTGGACCGCAGGCGAGGCTCTGCGTTTCAGGGTTGCGCCGTCAGGAGGTGGAAGAAAGGGGGCAGGTCGTGCTGAAGGCGCGGCTTTCCGTGCGTCCGTGCGTCCGTGCGCCGTGTCTCGGCTGGGTCTGGTTTTGGATGCAAAAACAACGATGGTTTGAGAGGTTGGTGCTGCATTCCCACATGTAGTTTTACATGTTTTACTCCCCTCGGGCTCTTTGAGATATGGCTGTGGGTCAAAACCCTGTAGCGCTGGTGAACATCAACATAGGTGGCAAGTGTATGTTCATCCACCCCAAAATGGAGCCATAGGTTACGCCCCATGGCCATATAGACAGAATGGGACGGATGAGGCCAGCCAGCAATCGGACAGCCAGCTGCGCGCTGCCTTGCTGGACAAGGCCGGCGTTTGCAACCGCCTGCTTCTTCGCTTCCATTTGGTTAAGATTTTATTTTTCCCTGCTGGGTTTAAAGGGAATCAATTTCACCATTGGAAATATATTTATTAACCAGGCTCCCGCCTGCTGCCGCCGACCCTCGGCGCATTAAGGGAAAAGTCACAAGGACCGGTCCTGAAACACGTCCGCAAACCCGGGGACCACTTAGAAGATCCTCTACGACCACAAACAAGGATTAACGGAAAAGTCAGAAATAGGGCAGCTAGTCCGTTAATTACCGCTTGGGCCGGCTTGCGCCCAAGTCACTTCGAGTTGGCGCCTCTCCCGGGGTCGCCCCTGAAACTGGCCCTCCCGAAGTTGCCCTGGACCGGTCGCCGGCAGGATCCTCTACTACCACAAGGATAACGGAAAAGTCAGACAGATGACAGCTCCGTCAATAACCGCACGGGCCGGTTTGTGCCGAAGTCACGTTGAGCTGGTCCTAGAAACAAGGCTGTTGGTCCCCCTCAACTGGTCGCAATCAGTGACGACCTGGGACCCTGTCCAGCGTCCTGGGTGCCAGTCCGGAAAGGTCGCACCACAACAATTTGAAGTACCAGCGGTCACACCAGGACTCGATCCCGGGACCGGTCCAGGGACCGGTCCCAGGACCGGCAGGACCAGGACCGGGGTTTGGTCCTGGGACTGGTCCTGGGACCGGTCCTGGGACCAGTCTGGGAAGCCGGTCCCAGCACCGGTTTTGGCTGACTGCAAGTAATCTGAAACAGCAGAACCAGGGTCCCAGGACCAGTCCCAGGACCGGTCCCAGGACTGCTCCCAGGACTGGTCCCAGGACCGGTCCCGGGTTTTTGTTCCGGGACCGGTCCTGGGAATCCACTTTTTGTGGGTTCGGGCGTGCCCCCCAGGGACTATCATTGATTCCAATCACTTCCAGTTGCATCCCACGCCGGTCCCCTCTGCAGGAGGCTGGGACGGGAGGCAGAGGGTCGGCGGATTTGTTCCAGGGGACTTAAGCAAATGGAGGGCTCCTTTTGCTTGTTAGTTGGCCGGGTCCAACGCAAATGCGGTGTGTCGAAGAAAACATGCCCCTTTCCTGTAGAAGAATACATCCCCCTTCAAACAGAGCATGTTTCCGACACTGCACATTTGCCTGGGTGATTCGCATTTGGGAGAGCAGTTGAACGCAGCAGATTGGGTTTGTGGATGAAGCTCTCTATTCGCCTTCCCCAAAACAGACATGGAATCTGAGAGAGGGTCCTTAGAACAGCTTAATTAAGATAATCTTCTGGGGCGTGAGTCTTTTCAGCTTACATGCTTGTTTGTTTTTAGGAGGGCAGTAGTCAGACAACTGTTGGAAACTGGGGTCCTTTGATTTTATCATGTACCATGCTTTTCCTTGGTGGGTAAAAGGAACATCTTGTAGAACCACAAGCCTTTGTCTCCCAGTTGCAGTTGGGGGAAAGTAGGTGGCACAATTATCCTTGGATTTATTCATCCCCTGGTCCCCCCCAAAGCCACATTATCAGGGGTGTCTTGTTTTGAGAGTACCCTTGTGGGAGTGAGTGGTTTTGAAGGGAAACCAATATGATGCTAACCATGTTATGGAGTCTCGGGTTTTAAGCCACACCCACAGGGAAATGACATCTACTTTCACCCTGTACCCAGGGCGCCTGGTCTTCAGGTGATCGCCATGGACGGCGTGGTGAGCGTCACTTTTGAGGCCCGCAGCTGCTGGCATGGAGCTCCAGAAAGGTCTGAAGAGGCAAGGTACTTTGTAAGTGGAGAGTACTATGATGACCTACTTGCACCAGGGGACCGCAGGTTTTGGTCCACGTTTCCACTTACCAGGGTTAATTTGGGGTACCTATTTCTGACCCACAGCCACTTCGACTTTCGACCTTTTCAAGTGGGTTGCAACCAGGACGAACCACTTGCTGAGTAGCACGCCCGGTTAAGTATAGGGGGCTATCCTGGATCCTGGAGAGGCACAGGAGAAGCCAAGCTGATGAGCCCTTGTGGGCATCCCCTGTAGAAGTTCAGGAACCTGGCCATGAATCTGCACTTTTTGACCGATTTGGGGTAAAATGGGCGAAAATCCATGATGTAGTCCCTGCTTTCAGGTTTCTAGATTATTGAGGATTTTGCAGTTGAATCTATCGATTGGAGGAGTTTCTCCAGATTCAAATGGACAATACAACGGGCTTTCAAAGATTTGCACGTCCATCAGGTCTCCCATTTCAACTACGGGTCGGCTGGACACCCGGGGGTGAGGCGGAGTTCGTCATAGTGGCGACCAAGTCGGCGTCGGTGGCGGCGGATGCCAACTTCCTGGCGGACTTGCGCCTTGGCGTTTATGGCAGAAGGTGGCTACCCAAAATCAGGGCGTCCCAGACAGTTTTTTGTTTTTGGAACCTCCAAAGGTGGCCATCGTTTCAAGGGAAACCACCAGCAAATTCATCAACTTTTGATTTGGGGAAATCCAGTGACCACTGAAAGTGGCACCTAGGGACATGGAAACAAAGGCCACAACCTGCGTAAGAAGCACATGGGGTAAGCAAATCTGCAGAGCACCCGGGAGACCTGCCTGTTCTTTTGGAGCGAGCAAGAACTGATGTTGCTTGTTTCAAAGGCCTTGGACCATGGGGCTCGTTGTTTCATGTTTGGCAGGGCTTGAAACTTTAGATGGCATCTGTTGATTTCTTGGTTGGGTGGGCGGGTGTAACTCCTTTGATGAGGTTGTTTCAAAGCGCTTGTGGCAGGTGCAAGCATAATTTGCACTGATGCGCTCTGAGGGCGTCGCTGCATTCACTGGAAGACGCGGTCTGCAGGAGTATAAACACGTGCAAACGTTCTTACACTTGCTGTGAGCGCTTTGACCATTTTCCAATGCCTCGCGGGCGAGCGCCACTATCATGGTTGCCAAGGCTGTCCTAAGCTCTAATCTGGAAGGGCTTGCGGGTGCGGGCTATTTGGGCCTATTCATTGGTGCATGTTGCTTGGATGTTAGGACTTCAACTTTTGCCAACTAATGGGTTTTCCACTAAAAAGTAAACTTTTAGCAGGGGAGCAGAAAGCAGCCGAGTATTGTTCTTCTCCCCGTATGAAATCCGCGTCAAAGCACAGGCTGACTGTGGTGAAGCAGCAGGCGAGCCGTGAGTCTGTGAGCGCCGACGCAGGAAGAGTGACCTCCGGTCAGTGGTTGCTAGGGTCTCTCAAAAACGAAGAGACCGGGGCTCATTCAACTTGCTCATGTCGTGTTGGGGAAACGTTTGGAGGTTCGCCTGCAACCAGGTCTCTTAGAATTGCATCTTGGGTCAAAGTTACTCATGCGGAAATCCATGGCCAGGTTTACACTGGTTGCCCTTCAAATAGGTCCAACAGGGGGTAATTCTCTTGAAAAGAAAGACTCCCTGGGCAACTTGAGGTTCCCTGGACGAACGGAGTCCCCACTGATCAGGGACCCCACTGATTCTGGGGAGATTCTCTGAATTTTGCGCGTGGGGAGCAGCAAACACCTTTATTGCTTCCTCCTACGAAACACGACAATGATGATTCCCATGGATTCCAGTGGTTTCTTAGGTGGTGCAGGATTTTGTCCATCCACAGGAGTGTGTGCTTGGTTTACTTTCGGTAAAAACTCAAGGTGCCCTTGACCAAATACCAGCTCGCAAAATGCGCAAACCACCCATGGCCGTGTGGCCATGGGGTAAGGGCCACCATTTGCGAAGGGCATCCTTGTCACTATTTGATACTTTGGGACATGTGAGCAACTGACGATTTCGTTGGTAGTAAGCAGTTGGGAAGTATATGGGGACAACCCAAACTTCCCAAGAAAGCCCAGGGACAACCCAAGGTGTGTCGAATGGACCTTCAAAGCGATTATTTTCCTTTTGCATGGTTGCATTTTTAACCAAGCCCCAAAACACAAAGCCGCCGAAGTCTCTGAGTGCAGACCTACGCGCCAGGGCATGCAGGGTGTGTCCCTGGTCAGTGCGCAGGCTGCCAGAATAGGCGCGGAGCACGGACATCTTCACTCCGCAACGAGACGAGAGACGGACACCAACAGGACACCAACCATTTTTACGAGGGCAAATTGGCACATGGTCCCATAGGGAACCTGTTCTAGGAGGGATGGGAAGGGGAGGGAACAAAACTGCTTGCAATCTACGTTCGCGCCTTTTCTTTTGCCTGGCAGTGTGGTAACATTTGGGGCTCAATACGGCAGCCATGACAAAAAGAGAAAGTAAAAGAGAGAGAGAGAGAGAGATAGAGAGAGAGATAGAGAGAGATAGAGATAGAGAGAGAGACAGAGAGAGAGAGAGAGAGAAAGAGAGAGAGAAAGAGAGAGACAGAGAGAGAGAGAGAGAAAGAGAGAGAGAGAGAGAGACAGAGATAGAGGGAGACAGAGAGACACAGAGAGAGACAGAGAGAGAGAGAGAGAGAGAGATACAGAGAGAGAGAGAGAGAGAAAGAGAGAGACAGAGAGAGAGACAGAGAAAGAGAGAGAGAGAGAGAGACAGAGATAGAGAGAGAGAGAGAGGAGTGTGAACAAGCGGAAAAAAAAGACGAGCGAACCAGCAAACCAAGCGAGCAAATGAAAGAAATAAGAAGTGGGGAGCACTAAGTCTTCTCCATGGTTCATATTTGAATCCTAGGGTTGGAGAATAACTGTCCTTCCTGAAGTCTCTCGACCCCTGTAGTCTCCCACATGTGTGGTTAGAATTCCGGGTGTCTTGGGTTTGGTGAGGGCTGCCCTTTGGCCATTGAGACAACAGGACAGGAGCATGCCCATTACCCACATGAGGTGTTTTGCATTGTTTTGCAACTGTCTCGCATGGCTATGAGTTCAACAGGGACCCCCCTCCAAATGTTCGATGGGCAGAACACCCCACGGACATGACTGAAAGTTGGTTGATGCGCATAACTCCCCAATGACTCGACTCAAGAGAGATGCTATTTCCTATGTCCACCCCAAGGTCAGGCGAAATTCATAGTAGTGCATGCACACTTCCCCATTGAGAATTTGAGTAGATGGTTCTACCCATTTTAGCTCCTCTATTGGCAAGCTAGTTGTTTTGTTTGGGGAAGATTTAAGACTCGGTTGCCATGCGGCTGAACGGCACCGGATGTCCTATGGTCCGAGCAGGCCTCTAAAAGAGTGATTCTACGATTTGGTCTTATGGTGCCCAGTGCCCCCAGGCAAGCCACCCTAGGCAATTTGGGGTTGCCCCTTGGTACAAGATACCTTCCCCTGGGTACCTGGTGGCTCAGGGTTCAGGTTTTTTGACTGCCCCGAGGAAGACTTAAACCCAAGTGCCCTGGGAAAGTCAACCAGTGGGTTTCAGTCCACTTTGAGGGTTGTCAAAAAATGGAGCCCTGTGGCTTGCCTGGAAGCAACGTGGTGGGCCTATCGGCTCACGCCTCTTTGGAAGGCACAGCGGACTGCGTGGCCAATGTTTCCGCTGGAGGCCGGGGGGGTCCCCGACGGATCCGATTTCCGGGTAGGGGCGGGGGAGGGGTGAAGGTCGCGTACTTGGGGAAGCGTGAGTATGACTGAGTTCCGATTGGTGAGTAAGAGTTTCTGGGAAGCTGAGTTTCAATGCGTGAATGATATCAAGGGTTCCAGAGTCGCAGCCAGAAGGTCGCAGCCCCGGGCATAGGAGCCTTGTCCGTTCTGTCAAAGGTCCCAGTTGGCGGCGTCTTCGTTGTAGGGAACCCCTCAAGTTGTGGTTTCCCTTCAAAGACCAACAAAAAGGTAGCCTCAAGACAAGACGAGCCGCCCAGCTTTTCTCCGCCTTTCCGGGCAACCTTTCGCCGTGTGGCACGGCCCATGGCTCAGGGAGCAGCTCAAGCTCGCGCCGGCCTTGGGCTGAAAAGTCCGAAGGCGGAAAGGGAAGCGGAGGTTTGAGCCAGTGGATAGACAGAATCCATTTCGCACCACCTAAGAAACCATGGCAAACCATTGCTTGTTGGAATTTACAGGGCAATCATCATGTCTTGGTTTTTTGGGTGGTGCAGGATTTCGTCCATCCACGGTATGCGGAGCTGGAAGGCTTTGAGTCGAATTTGGGAGAGCCTGCCTCAATGAAGGGAGAGCAGGCAGATCGGCCATGGCAACGAAGAAGGCTACAACGACGGTTTGGCAGGGCTTCCTCTATTTCCCTTGTTTTGGAACCTCCAAAAGTGGCAATCGTTTCAATTGGAACCACCGGTCAATTGCAACCTTTGGAGCGGGAAATCAGGCGAGGTTGAAGCCAAAAGGGTGCGGCTCAAAATGAAAGTGGGGCAAACCGCAGGTTTTTGGCGCTGCTTTTCCTTTTCCAAGGTGCCATGTTGGGTACTGTGATTTGGGCCACTCCCACAAGCAAAGAATAGTTGTTCCAGCCCATGTTGGATACCATTAATTGAAACTTTGAGCCACACCCAAACCATACTTGTTTCGGCCATGGTTTAAACCAAGGGCTGTTCCGCCACCTTTCCCTCGAAGTGAAGTTGAACCCGAGGACATGCATCCCAACGGAGGCGGAGAGAGAGGAGGAGCAGGCGCGTGGCAAGAGCAACTTGGGCCTAACGAGCTCACCGATTCCAAGTTCAAAGGAGCTCATGAGCGTCCCTTCCTGGCAGCTTACCTTATTTCCAGTTGTGGGAATTGTAAAGAAATCGGCGCTTGAATTTGAATGGAGAAGCCCTCCGAAGTGGTTGACCATCAATCCCCAGCTAAATGATGTCCACCATGCCGGGTTCCCAATCGACATTCGCGTCCAATTTGCTCAGAAACATCCGCAAAGGCCGGTGGGTGATTGGCATGGCGCCTGTTTGGCTGCAGCTTTTCGGCAAATGTCGGAGTGCCTGGCATATGTGGTCCTGACGGCTTGACCTACTGGGGACGGACAAATCCACTCTGAAACCATGGTTCAAACCGGTGTTTGGTATTTACAGGGGGAGTCATCATTCCAGTTCTGAACGGTGGTGCGAAATGGATTTTAGTGTGCGAAAAAAACGCTTCCATCAGCTTCCCCCTTGATTGGTTTGGATCGGTGGTTTGGGATTTGCACCCCAATTCCCTTGAGCTCAATTGGGGATTCTAGCCAACGTCGAAACCACCAAACCAATCCAAGTAGAGGGAAGCTGGAACAAGAAAACACACAGTAAGCATGTCCCACCAGCCTCCAAACCAACTATGGGTGAGGTGAAAGAAGAAGAAGAAGCATGGTACACATCTTCCACCAAGTAGAGGGGAGCTGGAGAAAGCACGTTTCTGAAGCCAACTAGGGGCTCCAAACCATCTGGGGGTAAGGTTAAACAAGCCAGGACCACTGGTCCTAGTCCATGTTTCCACTTACCAGGGCAACTCATTTGGGGTTACCAACTATTTTTGACCACCACAGCCACATCTTCCAGCAGAGGAACCCAACTAGGGGAAAGCTGAAAACAATCACCAATACCAATCCAAGGGAAGCTGGAATTTTTAATCTGAAACCCATGGCCCAAAGTCGGAACCCAAAGAAACCCATGGTAAACATGTCCCACAAAAAAGCAGGAAGGACAGAAAACGGAGGGACCCCTCCCGCCTCCCAGCTGCCATGAGCAAAGTGGCGCCGTGGTCCTCCTGGGCGGAGTTCCACGGGGTCTACTCTCAGCTCACCTCCGTGGAGCCCAGAGAACGGGCCGCCGGCGTGAAGCGCGTGGAGACCTGGACGCTCGGAGAAGAAAGCGAACTGGAGGGAGGGGCGCTGTTTCTGCTTCTGTTCGATTTTTCGAGTTTCCGCCAGTTTTTTTGTTGTTGAGTTTCTGCTTGTTTTTTTAGATATGTTGGAAGTTTCTACCTGGGTTTTGGTATGGAGTTTCTGCCCCCTTTTTCGGTCTACTTTTGGCTTCCTGCCCCTTTTGTCGGTCTACTTTTGGCCTTTTGGGTCTTCTTGTTGGAGTTGGTGATCTTGTTTTGAAGTTTCTAGCCCTTGGGTACCCCTTGTTTGGTCTGTTTTGGGAGTTGGTACCCCTTTTTCGGTGGTTAAAAAGGAAAGCCAAAAGGAAGAAGCACTTTTTTTTGGGGGGGGGTCCCAAAGAAATGTCCTCTTGGTTCCCCTTCCAAACCAACCGCAAAATGGTAGCCTCAAGAAAAGACACACCCAACTCTGTGTATGGGTATGTGTCAAAATGGTGGAACACCCAACAACAAATCTAGAGTTCCTTTTGGTTTCCCTTTAAGACAAGGTTTAAACCGTACCCTCAAAAAGCAAATATAGGAGTTTCTCAACATGTGATCCGGACCCTTTTTGGCCGGTATTTGAAGGGAAACAAAGGACACCCTTGCCATCTTAAGGTGCTATATGCTATTTTGAGAACCCCCTACACATATATATATATATACACATATGTATATATATATATATATGTTTGCGTCCTTGTTGAGGCTCAGTAAGACAGACGCAAAGGGGTGGGTTTCCTGGCTACCATGGCTACCATGGCTACCTTCAAGCCCAAAAGAGTGCCTTGGCTTACCCCTTTTGGGGGCTGGTTTAAAACAGGAAAGCGAAAGAAAAACCTACATACTATACGTTTTGTGTTGGGAGGAGGGTCCCCCTATTGGACATCGACCACGAACAAATGTATGACGAATAGAGCTGAATATATGTGCGAGGATGTGTGTGTGTGTGTGTCACATCTACAACTGTTTCTCAACATCCTCACCCTGTCACGAATGCAATTGGGGAAGGGGGGATGGATAACAAGGGTTTTGGGAATGAACCTTGGGATGGCCTTAAAGGGAAACCGCAAGGAATGGCTCGGTTCGGGGTCATTCCAACTCATTCGGCCAGCAAGACAGTTGAGTCCATTTTTCCCATCCGAGCTATGAACATGGCAGTTCTCCTTTCGGTTTCCCGTTAAACCCCTGAAAGGAATACCCAGCATCAACGACATGCACCCAATTCAATATGATTGTAATTTGTCCCCCGAAGGAAACCAAAAGGGATGGACCTTTTGCTCTTGAGCTCTGTTTGGAACTTGGGCAAATCCACTCACAAAGTGGGACAATTGTGGACCCCCCGGTCTCTTTTCGCCCCGGCATCCATTTGCTTAAGAATATTTATTTTCCCCTGTTGGTTTAAAAGGGAATCTATCACTACTGTTTTTTTTTTTGTTTCCAGGGGTCTTAAGCAAATGGAAGTGGATCATCGATCCGAGGCGGACGCGGAGCCGCTTGCCGGTAGCGGTGGACGTCACCGCGAGCTTCGTGGAGATCATGCTCAACGACGCATATCTGAACTCGGACACGTGTCATCCCCGGAGCGACCACGAGCTCAGGCCGGGGGATCCGTTGGAGGCGAAAATGGGGTAAGGCCCTAGAGTCGCCAGAGGGAAACCAAAAGGCGGTGCTTGGGGTTGATTGCAAAGAAGGTTTCAATGGTTGGGTGCCTCAATCAATCCTTCATCCGCATGCCAGATGGTAGTATGTTCGCTAGTTGCAGTGGTTGGTGGCGAAGATTGTTAAGTGGATGCTCAGAATTTCGATTTCGCCCCTCAAGGACAGCCAAAGGGGATGGACCCATCTGCTTAATTCTTTTGTCCATGCAGCCTAGCGTCCCAAGTAAACAACCAAACCCTGGTCGCCGAGCCTTTAGTCCCCTTGGAACCAAAAGGAGGTTGATGGTTTACTCATTTCCGGCAGATTCACATGGAACCCAAAGGCGGAGGTCCCTCAATTGGGACCCAGTTGCCCAGTGGTGCCATTTTTTTATGTTATTTTTTGTGGGAAGGGTTTCCCTTTAAAGTCAACCAACCAACAAAGGATGCCGAGTCTTTTTGTTCCCCATGGACATCCACTGGGCAGGGGGAGATGTTCCATGGAGCCTGTAGTCCCCGAGGCTGATGTATGCCATGGCAGTGGTGCGCCTGGTGAACGGCATCGTAGACACTTGCTGCGGTGCGTTTGGTTCGGGAAAGCTTCCTGGGATGAAAACTCTGTTTTGTGGGGTGGCTGGTTGGCTGGTTGGATGGTTGGGGTCATTCCCTCAGGCTTCCTGGGATGAAAAGTCTGTTTTGTGGGGTGGCTGGTTGGCTGGTGGGCAGGTTGGATGGTTGGATGGTCATTCCCTCATTCCCTGCGGAGAACCAACAAGATAGGGAGCGAAATCATTAGTGTTGTTATGCACCATGACATGCAATTTGGTTCAAGAGAAAGTGCTCCGCTACCCTTGCAGTTTTTAGGTGAGTATGTCCTATCAATAGGTGCTCAGCCGTATCGCTGGTAACCGCACCCGCCCTCTAACCCGCACCGCCATGGCGTCAAGCAGCGGTCGGCGGTTGCCACCCTGCTATTGCGAAGATGAACGAAGCAGTTGCAAGTGAGCTCATCAAGGGTGGTCGACCGCCCCACAAGATGTCCACCAGGGCTCAAGTTCCCACCACATCCACGTGATGTCGCAAGCCATGTGAACCATCCCGTATCTGATTTCTTGTTAGGGTACCCATTTGGGAGATGAATAGTGTGTGCATGCTCCGACATTGAAGGCGGCAGGCTCAATCCACTTGTTTGGGTGTATCATTCTCTCCGGTCATTGCACGTTTACTGGACTGACGCTTCTTCCTGAAAACTGTGGATCGTGATGCTGCACCAGCTAGGATTGGTGGTTTATCCCAGTATTGGGGGTTTCATCCAGCTGGCGCCGATGGGCAGGCTTGCGCCCGAAAGCCCTTTTAATCTAAGGTTTGTTTAACTCCAAAGTCTTGGACGTTCAACACACTTATTAAGTCAGAACTTCAGAACCATGCTTATGACTGGGGTAGGGTGGCCGGGGTTAGTCCTGTAGTAACCATGGTTATAACCTACTTGCGTGGGCGGGGCATCCAAGAAGCTACCCATTTCACCAACCCTTTTTGCCAAACCCATCCACTCCAAAACACGTGTATCAATATTCTTGTTATTATCCCCCAAAAAACAGTTTCTGGGTGGTCAAAACAGGGCCCTTCCGGGTTGTGGGTCCAAACAACAAGCTCAGGGTCAACCACAAGAGTCTCTGAGGTTTTGTTGTTCCCTTTTGGTTGTGTATGCAAAACAACATGTCCAAGGTTGATTTAAAAGATGGCAGGATCCTGGTCAGATCATCCACCGATATCGCACCAAATCTCCAACGCAACAATCAGGTTCCCTTTCTCCCACGAACGGAGCAACGGTGGCAGGGTAGCGTTTGTTCCAACTCCCCTCCCAACGGAAAATCCAACAGCACAGGTACTGGGTTGACTCAAAGCAAACAGGTACTGGGTTGACTTAAAGCAAACAGGTACTGGGTTGACTCAAAGCAAACCGGTTCTCAGAAAGGTCAACGTTGAAGCGAAAAAAACAACCCGTTTCCTCTCAGACCCGATACCGGTGGTCCAAGACGTGTTCAATCAGCTACCCTTTCCCAGTGCTTCCAGTTACCACCGTAGTGAGGGTTTCTTACCTCTAGGTTTTACTTGGTAGCTTCTCTTGGTTGCCTGCTGCACTGGGAACTGGAAGCACTGGGTTTGGTTTAATTCCTGAAGGGAAATCACGAGGTTATTTGAACAACCCATAGACACACATGGACTTAAATGGCCCAACCTCTGCCTCTCAGAGGTAGTGACATCGCCCCCCAAAAAATATCTCCAACAAGCGCAGCTCGAAAAAACTTACGAAAAACACCCCCCCCAAAAAAAAAAAAAACAAAAAGTGGGTCTTTCCAATACACACAACCCAAAAAGAGGGGTTTTCTCAAGGTAGGAGACCCGTCTTGGGTGGGTTGAGGGAAACCAAAAGGAAACCGCCCTGGAAGCCAAGTTGTAACCCATTTGCCATGGTTGTAAGTCCCCTATAACCAGGATTATGACCAATTGGCTAAATCCCAGAACATTTAAGCAGTCCCCCATGCGGGTGTGGCTTTTTGTGGGGAACTCCCCTAAACTGGACAGATTTTCCTTTTGATTTCCATCCGAAACAGACAAAAGGTGGTCCAACTCCGAAAGAGGACAGACTCCAAAAGGGTGTTTTTTGCTCCTTAGGACGTGGCGCAAACCAAGCGCAGTACCATCCTGGAGCGCGCCCATGGCCTGGAGTGGCCCCAGATCTTCGTGGACCTGCGCCACGACGCCTCCCACCAGGCGTCTAGCGCAGACGCCACGGGGGGAGAAATCCCATGTGAAGGCAGCGGCTTTTTCCAGGAGCTTGCTCAATTTTACGAGAAATGGGTGAAGATTGACATTCAGAACGATGAAGGCCCACATGAGGGTTGATCAAAAGGTCCGTGATATTGTTTCCCCTTCAAACTCAACCCCAACAATGCTATCCTCAAAAACACACTCACATGTCCAGAAAGGTTGCGGACTTCGAAGCAAGTTGATCGATTTGTGATTTGGGGAACTCCAGTTACACCAGTTTGCTTTCCAAAACGCCTGGGTGTAGTACCCCCCTCATTTTGGAAGAATACTAATCTGTGAGAAAGGGAACCTCCTGTCCATCAAGCTATGCTTGTTGGTGGAGCCTTGACCATATGTCCAGACGCAAATACAGAGGAGTGGCTTGGTTTCATTTGCTGTAGTTTCCTTTACAAGGGGGCCGACTTCATCAGGGGAGGGTCAAATTAAGGGGGTCAAATCATGGAGGGGACAAAAGACACACGGGGTCAAAAGAAAAAAGGGGGGTTCAAACAACTAAACGTTTAACTAGTTCATATGTACAAATATAAATGGGTCGCACTGACCCCGCCAGAACCTGCCGCCCTTGCCTGTGCTGCGGCTTGCGGCCCAGGAGGCGGTTTGGCGCTTCGGCGATGAGAGAGTTGGTCGGCTTGGCTGTTGGGTCGGCTGGCTGGTTGGTTGGTTGGTTGGTTGGTTGGTTTAGTTGGTTGGTTGGTTTAGTTGGTTGGTTGGTTTAGTTTGGTTTGTTTGGTTGGTTGGTTGGTTGGTTGGGTGGTTGGTTGGTATGTTGGTTGGTTTGCTTGCTTGCTTGCTTGCTTGGTTGGGTTGGGTTGGGTTTGGTTTGGTTTGCTGGGGTTTGGTTGGTTGGTTGTACCCTTCCTCCCACTGACATAGAATTTGTGGAAGGTAGCCGGAAGATTACTTAATCACCCTCTTCCAGGCACCCTTTGCAGGTTGCATGTTAGTGGGAGGGAGGGTAAAGGGTTGGTTGGCCGGCCGGCCACCACCAGCATTCTGTTGTTCCACGGCAATCCCCTGTAATCCTGGACATAGTAGAAATCATAAATTCCTGTACGATCGACGTGTTCTTGAAGCCAACTCCAGGCTCACTCCGCTTAGCCACAAGTGAAAACGACGGCTCAAGCCTCAAATTGTGCCGTCATGTTGGGATTTTGTTGCAGCCCCCTCAAGAGTCGTTGGGGCAAGGGTCAGAAAGAAGCCAAACCCAACCTGCTTCATCCGCCTGGGTGGGCATCCTGGAAAACAGAGGGCTACCCTTTGACATGTCGAGGCGCTGCATTGGGTAGGTGTCAACAGTGGGCGACCCAACATGATATCGATGACACGGTTGTTCTTTTCGCTCCGTTTTCAACCAACCTAAAAAGTCTAAAAAGGGGTGCCCTCAAAAATCACCCTTGAGCAAGATCCCATGAACCAGCATCCTTTGAGTTGGAGCTCCCAGAAGTCCGAAGCGGACATCGGTTCGGCAACGCTTGGCTTTTTTTTCCTGCACACTGGTTGCGGGAAGGGAGGTGGCTTTCTGGACATCACCCTACGAAAGGATCCCTGCCATTTGCTAAAGAATAGTTGTTATTTTCCCTGGTTTAAAGGGAATCTATCACTATTGGACAGATTGTTATTTTTTCCCACGGGGCTTACGCAAATGGAAGAACCTCCCTTAACATATGCCGAACCGGTGCTCGAAGAAGCGACAAAGTGCCCCTTTTGGCCTCGAGCTCCGAGGCTGCTGGTGGAGCGCTTTTGGCGACCTCAACTGCATCAGATCGAGGAGCGGGCAGGCAGGGATCGGATGGAAGGGATGGGGCTGGAAGGAAACCTTGCATGTCCGAATTTCCACACCAGAACATGTAAAAGCATAGCTTTTGGTTGGCTGTTTGGCCTGCCTGCCTGACAGCTGGCTGGCTGGCTGTTTGGCTGACTGACCAACTGACTTGCCAACTGACTGATGGATTGACTGCTTGGCCATATGTTGTGGTGGCAACAGATAGTCCTTCCTGCGAAGAGCAAGCGCTAGGCACCATCCAAAGGGGTACTCCATATCGGACACCATGGAAACTATGACCTTGTTTGAGCAGCTCATTGGCCGTTTGAGTTGTTGCTTCTACTGCTTGGTTGCACGTGGGTTGTAAAGTAAGGACTGTTCAGAGCAGTGCAACTTGGAAAAGCCAAACATCTCAACGGTTTTGGGTGGGCGCTGCTCGTTTCTAGCCACGAAGCGCGCAGGCACCACCAGTTCCGGGCGGTTGGAGCGTACACGCTCGGCGAAGACCCTGGACAGGCGGCTCAAGGCCGGGGCGAGGGCGCAACGTGGGATATGGGTGCCACTACCGGATTGTGTTGACCCCATATGAATCAACCCCAGTTGATTAATAGGGGGGTGGGGGCCCCTCCAACAGTAGTGATGCCCCACGCAATCCAGGGACACCGCCCTATTAATCAACTGGGGTTGCGTAATATGGGGTCAACATTGCTGCGGATGAACAAAGTCCTCGTCGCACCAGTTGATCCTGGTAGGTGGTGTCCATGCACAGTACACCCACCAAGATGGAACTTGACTGGAGAGTCGTAGAAGAGACTTTTTCTTTGAAACGCACCCTTTGGTGGGTTCCATGTTAGTTGGTGGGAGGGTAACTACCACTTGTATATTCTCTGGACTTCTACCCAAATCCCGAAGACCACACCCCAAACCCTTTTTGGTTGGTTTCAAGGGGACATTGACAGAGATGAATGGAACTGCATTGCAGGCATTGATCTCCGCTGTGGGTGCTGCTGGCAAGCCTGTTGAAGAGCCAAAGAAGAAGAAGAAGCTGAAGCGCAAGATCGACCCGTCCACAGCCGAGATGTCAAGGACTGAGGCGAAGCTGGGTCCAACCTGGCCTGACGAAACTGTCTCATGAGCCTTGGGTTGGTAGGCCGGCTGGTCCATCAATGCTTGAAGTGAGTGCCTTCAATAACTCTATATTGGGATAGGTTCAGCATAAGTAGCAGGGAACCCTGTTCACCCCGGCTTGCGAAATGCGAGGATGAATGAAGTGCAAATACTTGGCCCACTGTGTGTTAACCCCAAAATGGGAAAGCCCACAAACACCGTTTTTTGGCGCCCCCCAAAAACGGGGGCAATTTTTCCACCCCCCCCCCCACCCCTACCCCCCCCCCCCCCCCGCCCCCCTCAGGCGCAGCTGGCGGCGCAGCTGGCGGCCCAGGCCGCCGCCGAGGCTGCGGCGGCCTCGGCGGCGGCACACTGGGCGTCGCTGGAGCTCTCAGCGCTGGCGCCGGACGAGTCGCGGCTGCTGCAGCGGCTCTTCGCCACAGCCGCGCGGCGGTCCGAGTCCGTCGGGCGGAGTCGGTGGGTTGGTTGGTCGGTCGGTTGGATTCGCAAAGCGGGTGGTTGAAGGGTATTAAGGTTCGGGAGTGGTTTGAAAAGGAAGCCAAAGGAGAAAACACATGTTTATCAAGGGACGCCTGTTCTGAGGCACTTGGTATGTGCCTGTTTTTTTTCCCAGTTTGTGCAGCAGCACCGATTATTTGTCCCTTTCGAATAGGACATCCAGCAACCCCTTCTTTGATGCTTCCCCTTGGTTAGTTGGAAACCAAACGGAAGCCCTTTGTATAGAAGGTTCCCCCATTTTGATACCCATAGTGTTGGGTAGGTTGGGCGTTTGCCACTCATGGCGTCAACAACCTCCTTTTGGCTCCACTTCAGATGGGCTACTGCAGGATGAGTCCTTGAAGGAAGTGACATTGCCGGGGGGGGGGGTGTATGGGTATCGTTTGAGGGTAATTACCAACTTCGAGGTTGCTTTTGGAAGAATTGGCGGTGGCTTAGGTATGGGCTTGTTCTTAGGGCATGTGTATTGATTTTCTCGCTCCTCGAGTTTCTGGACCTTGTACCTTTTTGGGGAAGAACAGAGTGGCGGCACATAAAGAATTTGGGCTTCACCGGGGTCGCCACACAAGGCGAGACGAGAATCACATTGGTATGGCTCAGGGTCCGTGAAAGCGGGCATTTTGAGGGGTTTCTTGGTTTCTCCAAGTTACTCTCGAGGAAACTCTTTACACCACCATTTAGAGTCTGCAAGGATTCACTTGCACAGACTCAATGGGAAGGCTGCGTAAGGTCTTGACTCAGGGTCAGAGCACGCGGCTGTTCTGGGCTGGTGTTCACTTGATGGCTGGTCTTTGGTGCCCCAAAGGCCCCTGATCGACTTTTGGAGTCTGTAGGTGTCACTTCGAAGATGCGTGCGCATCGCCAGGAGGACCGTAGACCTTTTGGAAACAAGTTCTTTTTCCGCAACCTGCCGACGTCTGGGAAAGGTGAGCGACCTTTTGCTGGGGGGCTTGGAGCAACCCTATGGACGCAAGGTTCTTCACAAGCTGCCTCATGCTGACGGACGAGACGCCAGGGCCATACATTTACTTTGCGAGCCACTTGGCGAGATCCGTCTGATATAGCGGAGGACCATCCTCCACTGAGTGTCCTCTTGGCTTGATACTGAGAATCAGACCAAGGCCTGCGTTTTATCAGGTCCGGGAAGAAGTAATTGGATGTGGGCGTGTTTCCTGAGTTTTTGATGAGCGCAGTGGAAGAACTGGCGTCATTTTCTGCGCCAAAGGAATTGAATTTGACGCCTGCTGGTCATAGGTTGGTCTATGGTACAAATTTGCAACTGCAAATCTTTGAGTGAACTATACTGATCCAGCTGCTCTTAAAAAAAAAAGGGGGATTCCTGCTCGTCGTATCCCAGAAGCGCGAGGAACGCACACATGTCGCGTCAGGAGCTGCTCCGAGAACTTTGCCCTGCGCCTGGTGAGACAAGTCCTCGCTCGGGCAGCTGGCTTGAAGACGCCGCGGGTCGACTTGGCACCTGACAACTGCCCGAGTTTGAGAAGCATCTCCGCCCTTTGGACAGCAAAACTCGTAACTCGGGTCTCCTCAGATTTGTTTGGAACAAAGGTCTTAGACCAAATATGAAATAATGTGTATATTTGTACACATATAAATGTCATGTTGGTGCACCTCGAATTTGGATGGCCATAATCAAGGCCCTTGACTTGCAGGGAGGTCCCCATATTTCTGCTTTGGGGAGCATACATAGTAGTTTCACAGACAACGATGCATGGTGTCCGTCTGACGGCTCCCGAGCCCTGCAGATGCGGGTGCGCTGCGAGTCGTTGTAGTGCTGGCAACATAAGTGATCAGTTCATTATTAGCAGTGTACATAAACCTGCCTACATTTGGGTTTAGAGTATCCTTCAGCCCTTTATATTAGTATATCCCGACTGAAGCTGAAGCACTTGCTTGAAGTCGAGGCCACCTGTGCAAAACTCGCATTCTCTTCTATGCTTCCACATTGGGGTTGCAATGGATGCGCTATGATGGGTTGCAGTGGTTATCTTGCGTGCTCCATGGAGCGGTAAGGCCCTGCAACCAACCGGTCTTTGGTGCGACTCGGTGCTTCTACCAAGGGGGACTGATCTATACTCAAACGTTGCCGACCAAGTAGGCAGATTCAACAGGTTGAGAAGGCCGCAACAAAAGCACAAATGTCTTGCTGGTGCTCGTGGGAAATGAGGGAATGAACCCAGCGATTCCATCAAAGGAAACCACAAGGGATGGTTTATAAGGGTCATGTTTTTCTCTGGCTTAACCTGAGGATGGGTTCTACTCCTCCGCGCATGAGCAGAACGTGTCTTCACAGCACTGAGACATGTTCAAGAGTGTTGTCCTTGTTCACCAAACCGCTGCCCCACAAAGGCAGGGGTATGCGGCCACTTTCGGGCCACTGCTAGACCCCAAGGGCAAGTGTAGGGGGCTTCCACGGTGTGCTCTTTTTTACCTGCTTAAAACGCACGTCGCCTGCGGCGCAGCGCCAGGAGCCCTCGGCCGAAGAATCCGAGCGGATGTTGCTGTGGGTTGGGTCGCTGATGTCGCTGCCAGAAGGAAAAAGGACAGACTGCAAGCGGATCTGGTTGATTTGCGGGTGTGCGGGTGTGCTTGCCGAGGGTGCCTTGTTTATAGATCGGTGCAAAGGAGAACCAAAAGGAAATTCCACCCAAGTTTAGGGTTCCCCGGTTTTCACTCAAACCCCTACGTGGTTCCTATGTAGCAAGACGTGCTGGCTCTTTGCATACCCCTCATCACATACCCACATTGCATACCTTACATCAACAAAACCGCCTGGCTGGTTGCATGCCCCTCGATGAATACCCAGACTAAGTAATTTCCCATGAAATTCTTGCACAGCAGGCTGTTGCAGAGCACGCTTTCGATGGACATACCTACGCACAGTCGTCTTGCAGAGAGCTTGCCCTTCAGACGAAGACAGGATTGAACAGGTAGCAGAGGGAAGGGCCGGAAGAATCCATGTTTGTCTGCTAGCTCACAAGTTGCCACGTTACCCCACCATGTCTCAGGAAATCGGGGCGCTGTTTCAAGTCTACCCGAGAAAAGCTGGAAACAGCGGTTGCAATATCAACCCGGGTTTTCTCATCCTGGGGTGCTGGGCAGGTCCCAGCCAAGACTTTTTGGCTAGGATTATAAGAGGGCATCCCACCTTTTAAAAGTTTACAGTACCTTTTAAGGGATGTACAAACCACTGGGGTTCCCCTCAAGCCAAAAAGGGGGGTCACGCAGTTCCACCGTTTCCGCCTCCCCCAACCGCTCCGGAGGAGCCGCCTGCGGCAGGCGCTGCGGGGCTTGCTGCCGCCGCTCCGCCTCTGCGCGCTGCGGCGCATTGCAGAAGAAAAGTCCTCCGCGAAGGGCGCGGAGATCGCCACTCGGAGAGGGAAAGGAGCTGCTTGGAGTCAAACCAAACACCAGCATAATACAGCCACATACAGCCACCATGGCTTGCGAAATAGGTTGGACGTCCAATAAGTGGGCGTGTCTCGGCTTCCTCCGCAAGCCACAAGTATGTTGTATTTCAGGGTAGACTACTTGGATGTTCAACCCACTTGGTATATACCTAAGTAGGTTGAGCATAGAAGTCGGTGTGTCTCAAGCTTGGCCCAACATGAGGGGGGTGTTAAAATAAGTAGATAGGGAAGAGCAGGGAAAGCAGATGAGGACCAACAATGTGTCTCAAAGCAGATGAGGGAAAGCAGATGAGGGAAAGTAGATGCATGTGTCTCAAAGCAGGGCATGAGATTCTAGGGCTGGGGTCTCCCCCAAAAAACACGATTATAATTCCGGTTAGACCAAACATGAAACATAGTCTTGTTTTGGCAATCCCCACCCAGACCTGGCGGGGACCCAGTTGAATCCGTCTAAAAGGAAGTCAGCACGGAATTCACTAAAAGTCCCCCCCCAAAAAAAAACATGTCACACTTTCCTGACTCCCTCCCCAAAAAACGCCGCGCAAAAGCTGGTTCTCTCGCAGGGCAATCCACGCCAAGGCAGCTCGCGGCTCTCAGCTTTGGCGGGCCTTGCAGGGCATGGGTGTGGATGCCGGGGCGAACGTCTTCGAATCCCTTTGTCAGGACCATCTGGATCTCACACAATCCAAGTAGGTAATATTGGTGTATGTTTTGCTAGGGGACCCCCAAATATTGTTTCTTTTGCTGCCCTTCAAAACCACAGAAGGGGTAGCATCAAAAAAGACACTCCCCCAGCAACATACCCATTTGGAGGGTACACGTGGGCAAATACTACGTATATGGAACTAAGCATGACTGAGGGCCTTTTTTCGACTATTCCTGGGGTCGGAAACCGGGGGTTGCTCCCTTGCTACTGTACCATTTGGGTGAGTTTGAACATGGCAAAATAGTGGGTCGGTATGCGTCAAAAGCAAACCCTGCAGCAGACAATATGTTTCCAGCCGTCTATGCTGAGTATTGCGAGGACCGGAGGGGCAACCACTCAACTTGTAAAGGGGGGTTGCGAACAAATGAAGGTTACTTTCACAGAGAGCCCGTATTTGGGGTTGCCGAATTTGTGTACCTCCTGCAAGATGCCCCGTTAGGGTCGACATTGCACCTGTTATGGCCAGCAGCCTTTCACGAGATCGGGCGGCATGAAGGCTGCTTGGGGATCCCATAATGTTGTTTGGTGAATTCTAGCATGCAGCGCCAATGAATTGGCTTTGCTGTTGGATGCTTTTCTCGCCAAGTTGGTGTGGGACATGTTAGGTGCACTGTTGGTGGGGTGGTGTTCGAAAGCGTAAAGAAAAGGTGTTTCTCCAAATCGGGGGCCCCTAAATGTGTTCTTTTGGTTTCCCTTTGATTAGCCATTCAAAAGGGCAGCCAAAAGGAACACACCATACTGGAGAACATCCTCAAATGCGCCTTTGGCTGGTGGCTCAAAAGGAGCGTTTAACACCCCGCAGAAGAACATTTTGAGAACCCCGCAATAATTTTTAACCAATATTCTAGAAGTTGACTCCCCACTCTCATCAACCATCGTTCTTTTCAAAAACCTGCCTTTTCCCTGGGTTTGTGGGTTTTTCTGGAAAGAATGATCCCTGGACAGAATGGGGAAGGTACCCCTAGAAGTATTGTGAATGGCCAAAATCTATGGGAAGCACCCATCGCCCACTGCCGCGGACTCGGGGTTTTCGCAGGACGCGGACTCGGCTCCGACAGAAGGCCCCGGGGGTGTCAAGCCCGGATTCACATGGGAGGATGTGCGTTTTTTGAGTCTCGGTACCTTTTTTCGGGTTGGTTTAACAGGGAAAGCGAACGGAAAACCAACAATTTGAGGTCCCGGTACTCGGTACCCCTTCAGTGTGACACATACCCGCTTGGAAACCCAACAAATCGTCCTTGTCCGAGGAGTCATCTTTTGCGGGGACTTTGTTTGGGATTGATAGGGGGTGTGTTTCCCCTGAGGATTGATAGGGGGTGTGTTTCCCCAAACACTGAAGGATGCCCTTTCCAATGAAACACCCCCCAATCAAGATCTTTTATATAAGACGATTCACGAACTCGCCCAGCCTGGGTTCAAACAAACTGGATTTCGCCCTATTTGCACGAACCTGAAGGCATCCAATTTTAGAGGTTTACTCAAAACAATGCCAAGCTGTGGTTTGCCTTTCCAGTTTTCCTGATCTTAGTCATGGTTTCTGGAGATCCCCTCGGAGGCAAGTGGCTTCTTTGGACTCGAGACCGGTTTTCGAGGCGGGGTGGTTTGTATTGCCTCCAGCGAGCCGACGAAAGCTTCCGTGGGGCTAGCTGGGTGTTCTTTGTGTTGATCCTGCTTGCTATAGACAAACTATCTTTCCAAAAGGACACCTAGTGGCTTGACACTTAAAAGAAACAAGCCCTCTTGTCTTTACACTCCTGCAGATTCACAAAGCATCAAAGAACCCAGCAACCCATCGTTATTTCAGAGGAACCTCCTTCCATGCATCCCCCTTGTTTTTTGGGGAGAAGCACTCCTGAATTTGCTTGAGGGGCTGCTTGTGAACCGCTCAAAGCCATAGCTTGAGGACTGCAGAAGATGGAGGACTTGGTTCAGAAGCTGAAGAGCCGAAGGCAGCCACACCGAACTCGACCCCGATTCGAATGGGGGGAAGTGGGGGAAGGCATGGGCGTGCCTTGTTAGATTTTTTTGCTCGGAATTTCGAGGCAAGCCAAAAGGGGACGCCGCCATTTTGGGGGATTTCTGATTGTGAGAGATGCCCATTGCCCATATTATACACTTTGTGTTGTGGTTGTTTAGTGGCTGCGCCCAGGAAACCGGCGTGGGTATATAGTGGTAGCGGCGGAAGGCATCTACCCATGTGTGCTGTAGTCGAGCACCCTGTTACTCAAGCTTGGTAGGGCTGGTCAGGGAGCTATGAACAAGGAATTTGGGCGTTGCAAGGGGCTAGCACTTCCACTCCACCAATTCCATTGATTCCGCCGCTCGAGCTGAGCGATTCGCGGAACGAGGTTCTCCACTGGCAGCTGCGAGCCATGGACGGCGGTGGGCACATTCCTGGACAAGGAGATGGACATCGTTTGCCGGGAAGAGCATCTAGCCAGAACACAGGCCCACACCCAGTTTGTCCCAGGCAAGCCACCATACTGGGTAACCAATGATTTGTCCTGTCGGCTTTTGAAGGGTGATTCCCTTGGTTACCTACTATACGTGTAAATGGCATCACTGGGACAACCTGTTGGCTTTTGGGCCTCTCAAACTTGCGTCCGGCAGCTCCAGGTCCCCGGAATTCTTTGCTTGAAAGGAACCAGAAAATACGAGTTCCGTCCCATTTGCCAACCCCTCTCAAGATCCCCTCACGCGCCAAAAGGACATGTTGCAAGGATCAGCTCCTTGGTTCGGGCAATGTCACATGTCCGCACCCTAGGCCCTAGATTGTGAGAACGGGGGGTGGAGAGAAGGGGGGAGCATATATGATGCATCTCCCGATGGGTAACTGGAAGATCATGTACAACCAGGTGTGCCTCATGATTTTTCCAGTTGGTGGGTGGGGAAAAATGACAGGCGTTGGTCACAAGTTGGTGGCCGTTTCATTTCCAGGGGCTGCGCCGAGAGACTGCGAGGCACAGCGAAGATGTGTTCCTGCCACAGGGCGCCGAGCAGACGTGGCTGAAATGGGCGGCAGACGAGCCTTGGACAGTTTTCAAGAAATTCCCTCCCAACATGGAGCCTCGCAGAGGACTATGTTCCTTTAAAAGGGGCCTTGTGGTTTGTTCCATGTGTCCATCTTCGTGGACCAGCAGGTAGGTTTCTGTTGTTTGAGGGTACCATTTTTGGGTTGGTTGAAAGGGACGCCAAAAGGACACCCACCATTTTGAAGGTCCCCTTTGAGACACAAACTCCCGGTCATTGTCAAGGACAGTCTAGGGGTAACTTCCCTTTCCAGGGATCCGATTCTTTCTAGAAAACCACCAAAAACCCTGGTGAAATGGCTGGTTTTGAAAAGAACAACGGCTGAAAAGAATGGGGCATCAACCCCATAGAGTCCTGGACCCTTTGATAGGGGGCGTAGACAACCCTTAGGTGGCTCCTGGCAAGGGAGCCGTGACTATCATTCAGGAGGTGTTCATGTCAGAAGGCACCGCTGTTGATTTTATCTTGAGGGAAAGGCACGGATGAAACCATTGCGGTTTAGAGGGGACCAACCTGTGCTAACAATATCGAGAAGGGTCACCATACTGTTTGGTGGAGTGTGAGGTTTTCAACGCCATCTCTTGGGCCAATCTTGATTCGGGCGTGCTTTTGTTTATGGCGTGCCCTTTTCTGGGTTTGGTTTTGAAGGGAAAACCCAAAGAAAGCCAGCCATTTCGGGGATCCCGGATTTTCAGACACACCCATGTTGCCGTTGAGAATGGTGTTGAGGGACATACAGTGGATTGCCAAAATCCTTTACCACCGTTCAGAAACCCTGGTTTCTGATTATTCCCCTGCAAATACCAAAAAAAAGAAACATAGAATCCGCCATGGTTTCATTTCGTGGTGCGGTCTCGGATTTTCGCAACCATCCGTGCCACAGTACCCACCCTCATCAGGAGGCACGACTTGGCGTTGCCCAGGACTCCGGCCTTGGATCCGGCGCGCGGGTGATCGGCTTCTCGGACACGGAGGACCTGGCTGCAGGCCGTGGTCGGGGGCTGCAGGCCGTTCGGTGGGTTGCCAAGGGGCCAATGGGCCAATGAAACAACCAGCTTTGCCAAAATGGTAAGATATCCTCAGCATGACTCACTCACTCAATGGTGGTTCCTGTAGCTGGTCGCTGTGGAACATGGTTTCCATGAAACCTCGGGGAGGGGGGGGGAACGGCCTATATAGCTCTTATTTAGTGGCTCTGCAGTTTCTCGGAGAAGAAAGTTCGCCAAACCCGCTGGTATCTAAGTACCGTCGCAAAAGGGTCCCTTGTCAAATTGTCGAATTCGCCAACACCCCTGGTTTCAATTTCCAGTTGGCTTCTACTTGGAGTCTCCTTCTGACCCTTAAAAAATGGGTCAATGACCAACCATTATTTTGGGTAATGACCAACCATTTTTGATTTGGGTCAGAAGGAGACTCCAGGTACCGTACCACCGTTTCCGGCTTTCGGGCTCCGGCCAGGCGCCGAGCCAGGCGAGGAGGCTGAGGAGGCCGAGGCGGTTTTGGCACCGGAGAGCTCCGGTCAAGTGGCGCGCCTTGGCGAGAGGCTAGAGGGTTGCTCCGAGCTTGAAACATCGATAGGTATTTAATCAAGGGTTTTGGGAATCAAGCGTTTGGGATCTCTGAAAGGAAAGAGGGCGAAAAAAGCTCGGGGTTCCTACTCATTCCCTACCTCTCACAGCAGCAAGAACATGACCCAACCCCAAGGGTTGAGAAGTGAACAGTTTCCCTTTTGCCTCTGTTTGTCGCTTCAGGGCTTTCGCTTCAGGAGTTGTTCAATTCGTTCACTGCTCCGAAAGCCTTTCACGCACGCACCCAGGCCGGCCACAGCCAAGCTGCCGCCGCAGGTGCCGCAGGCGGGGCAAGCACGGTTCAACTCCCCGAGTGAATTGGGTCCCTTTCTGGAGCCACTCTCAATGGGTGTTTAACAATATTAAACATGGGTTAGAATGCAGCGCGAAGGTGGTCAATAAAAACAGGGGTTTTGAAACTTGAGGGTGAGTTACTCTGTATGTCCTCTTCAGCTCTGTATGAACTTAGCTAATCGGAAAGGCGGGAGGGCAACTGTGAAGATACCACATGTCAATGTGGTATCTTCACAGTTGGCCTCCCGTCGTTCCGATTAGCCAAGTTCATACAGAGCTGAAGAGGGATGCGTGACCGGCCCTTTTTGTTTAGCCCTGACATGGGGTTGAGCTCTCGCAAAAGGGGGCTGTAAGTTGAAACCAACTGCTCAAACGGCACTTCCTGCCCCTTTGCCCTGTTTCAAGCGCCACCTACGTGAGCACTAAGGCCTTAAAGGTGTTTGTGATCCTGACAGCCTCATTGGGCCTGACCAGCCTCATATACAGGTAGCTGCCCCTGGCATACCTAATCCTATGCATTTGTTGTATGTGTATATCTCCAATGTGTAGTATATACATGTGCATGTGTGTATGTATAACTTAATGTATTTGGATACAAGGGGGCGTATATCCTCCATCCGTGGTTGAACCCTTACATCCTCAGGTGTGGCCGGACCCGCCGGAGGAGAAAACGCTCGAGCCCATATCCGTGGACCAGTTCAAGGAGTTGGCCAAAGAGCTACTGCGCCAGGTGATCTGAGCTGTGGAAAACGGCGGCGTCTTCTTTCGGAGAGCCTGGTTTTAGTTTTGCCTTTGACACCGGTGCAAAGGGTTGGAGGTTGGAGGACGTTCGATTTCATACCCAAAATTGGTTCTGAGCCATAACAAGTAAGCGGTGGAGGGAACCAGAAGGAAACCAGAAGGACACCGAGGGAACCATTGCATTTGGGCTGTTTGTAGCCCATGTGTTGCACAGCATAGGCTGTTGGTTGTTTTTTAAGGGAAACCAGAAGGAAACCGTTGCACATGGTTGGAGGATAGTTGATTATATGCAATATGGATTCAGAGCCACAACAAGATTCAAGGGGAGCCGTGGGAAGGTTCATCATGACCACCATCAGTCCTGAATTGCCCCGAAAAAGTACTGGTCACTAGTAGTCACTATTAGCTTACATACCCGCATTACCCCAATTGGCAACGCCCCCAAATCCTTGCCTTTGCATGGGATTTTCAGGGGCCATTTGGAGTACATAACCCGAAAACCATGCTTCTATATGGCTCGATGGTGGTATTTTCATTTTGGGGTATGCAAGTGGGACCGTTAGAAAAATGGTTCTGCACTTTCTGTGATACCAGGACATCCTACCTGTGTGGGTGGTTGAAACGTCACGTTTATCGGTTGACATGCTTTTCTTCTTGGTTGAGGTTTGAAGCTGACATATATAAACCAGCTTTCCCCTCTTGGCTAAGTCTTAGGCCTTTTGGGGCCCAATCAAAGCGAGTTTCCAAGTGAGCATAGCCGGGGCTTGAACAGCAGACCCTAGAATTGAGAAGCGTAACGGTTTCACAAGGATTCCAAAGCTTGAGAAGTGCACTTTGATCCCTTGGCGGCATTTTGAGCTGCTTAAAGTTTGGCATGGCTGAGACCGGAAATGATCTGGGTTAGAGGTGAGAAGCCCAGACAATGCTTGTTGGACCCAATTGGAGGGTAAATGTGGGTGTCTATATATATATATATATTAATAGCTCCGTGCCCTGTTTTCCTAAGGGGCCACCTCTCAGGCTTCAGATGCAGCCCTATCAGCAAACAGTTCCACACGCATATAGCTATGTGTGTCCAAATGCAGTGACCCCTAAGAACGTACAAACTATCACACATTATAAATTCAGTGCCACCTCGTGGGGCAGCCGAGCGCTGGGAGGGTTCAAGACTTATATGGGTGTTTGTGTATATTGGCTTACCAATTACATTATGTGCTGTATATTGGTATATACATGTGCCAATATGAGTGCACTAAATGAATGTGTGTATATTATCCAGATGCACATAATATATTTCTATATCCATATTGATATGTATACATAGACTTACTCATACGACGATTTGAATTGACCAGCCGTGATGGGTGATGCAAGTGCTCAATGAGTTGTAGGCTGCGAATCAAGGCCTCAAGATCTGACCATGGCCCCTTTTCAAATTTCACAGCACCCAACGGGGGTTGTTTTGAACCAATATTAGGGGTTGCCAACTTGGGTTTCCCTTGTTTGCCTTAAGTCTACCACTTGGGGGTAACTTTGTTGGTAAAACAATGAGACCAGGAAAACGGCTGGGCAAGTGCCCATTCAAATGCCAAAAAACCTGTCAATTTCCGAGCTTCAAGAACTCTTCGATTCAGAGCGCCCAAAAACCCGGTATGGGCCATTGGTTTGCGCGAATGTGTGGATTCTACCTGGTTTTATGAGGGTTATAGCAAGGCCCAAGAAACAAGTTTACTCTCATCGTAAGACCAAACGCCAGCTCCCCGCTCGCATCGCTGTCGAGCCATGCCGCGGGCTCCGCATCTGCCGCTGATGTGCCTAGCGGCGCACGCAGCAACGGCGCCCACCCCGCGCCAAGCTCCCCCGCGCCAGGCAGCGTGAAAGGGACCAGTGTTCTGTTCTTTTTTTTGGGGGGGGGGGGGGTACAAGGGGCTAATTTGTTTCTCACAATATCTGCTGCTGCGCATGACTTGGTTTGGTTGTCAAGTCCCCCACAACCCCATTCAAGTTGATATCCCAGCGAAGGCCCTGGAATTCCACTCCGTTGCCCAAATGGTCCAAAGGCAAAAGGCGATATCGCGGCGCAGGTTTGGGCCACTGACAAGGGCGATATCGCCCAGGTTTGGGCCACTGACAGGTGCCACCCATGGAAACGGGGTGATTCGGATGACCGTGCAGACCCATTGCTTTCGGTTTCAAGCTGCCACGGTTTCGAGGTCGGGTCAAACGGATTTGTTTGTGGTCATTTGGGGTTCGCGACAGGGACGAGCTCTGTATTTTCCTCCCACAAAAACCAGGGACGAGCCCTAAATCTCCCACGTAGTTTTGACCGTGGCAAACAGGTGACTGCGTCCAATTTCAATGGCAAGCCAATGGTTTTTAGCGGCCAGATGCCCACGGCAGAATCATCATTGGTCGGATTTATTTGTCCCATGCCTAGTCCAGAGGGCAGGGGCCTCGCAGCAAGTTGGTTCCCATCGGCACACTGCTGATCGCTTCTCCACTTATCATTAAAGTCCCCCCCCTATTCGGTGCGGATTACTTTCTTCCAGGGGCACTGCCCTGTCAACTGGCGGATTATTAATCAGGGATCAACATCAGCAACACATTGAACATGCTTGTGGGCAAAGGGGGCGTTGCGACGTTACCCAAACTAACTTTGTTGGGGATCCCTTGTTGTCGGTCTGTGAATTATGATGTAGCTTGCCCAGATGCTTGAGCAAAATACCTCACAGTTAGGCAAAAGAGCAGAGACGTTGTTCTTGGTGGCTCCCAGCCATCCCCTTAGCTTTGAAAGCCTTCAGGCTTGGGCAGGTTGGTGAGGTATCATTGCTTTATTGAGCATACCTGCCGATCTGCCATTTTGGTCAAGCCAAAACAGTCGGGCCGGCTACTGGACCTGCCCGGTCCTGCTTGGCAATTATTTTTTTGTTGCGGCCTCTGCTTCGCAGGTCCCTTCTAGTGCAGTTGAGCTTGCGGGAGGACGGGGCTGCTCGCATAGCCCAGTTGGAGCTCATGGCAGCGGTGGTCACGCTCATTTGCCACGCGCGTCGCTTGAGGGGATGTGATGGGTTTGCCATGTGGACAGCATCTCCGCATAGACGCGCTCATCCGAGGTCGGAGTCGCAATCCTGACTTTGGACAAGATGGCAGGACAGGTCCACTGCCTACTCTTTGGCATCAAGCAGGTTGTCTCCTGGGAGTGGATTGCGTGTAGGGACAACTGGCACGCGATGGACTTGCTGACGGGTGGTTTCAAAGGAACAGGTTTTCAGCATGTACTCTGAAACCCTACTACCTGCTGACGCGCCTGCCGGCTTTCGTTTCCCTCCACGTCTGCAAGTTCTTCTGAGTGCTTTGGGTTGGTGCATTGGCAGTCGGTCAGATGATGCTTGTCCGGGACACGGACCCTACAAAAGCACTTTTCGATTGACCGTTATAAGCCGAGACCTCTAGAACACGGAGGCGCGACCGTGGCTGATTGAGGAGGAATCGGAATGCGCATTGATTTGGCACAAATCCTTCAGGATTGCGCTGGTTGGTGAGGAGTCATTGCTTTTGTTGGGCACGCATGCCTGCCGATTTGTCGTCTTGGTCAAGGCAGGCGACTGGACTGGGAAGGTCCCCCCAAATACCCTATATCTTCTGCCTGGGAGGCCAGCGGCCCCCGCACATGGTTCTCCTGCGTGATTAGTAATTGTGCAAATGGTCATCGGTCAGACGATGCCCTTGTGAAGGGCCTGTCCGGGACACGGACCCGTGAGGAACTTGGTTGTGCCAGAGCACTTTTCAAATGACCGTTACAACACGCTTGGACAAAGCATTTTAGTCTTGAGTGGGGCTTCCACTCAACCCACTAAAAGTCCAAGCTTTTAAGCAGGGGATCTGAGGGCAGCCCAGTGTTCACATCCTGACTCACAGCCAGGCCCTGGAAAGGCAGCAGCTGCGAAGCCCAGGCGTGGCGTGGCTGATGTCGAGCGACCCCTTTGGTGGGTATGAGTTTTGCTTGGGGACCCTTTGGTGGACCGCATTTGAGGAGGGTTTTTGTGTCCACCAATCACTTTTCAGAAATTTATTGTTTGAGGCACCATTTTTGGCGTTAGGCCGTGTCCCGGGCCCGGGGATCCCCCCCCTTTCGACACACACCCAACTGAGCAGTGCCCAAGATCATGTCCAGTTGGCCGTTGTTGTAGGCGGTCCTACTCTGTGTGCCACATAGTCCATGTTTGAGTTGCTTTCCCAAAAGGAAACCAACAAGAGGAATGGGTAGGTTTCATTTTTGCCAGGGCCTCCTTGTGTCACCCACGCCTGGTTTCATGGATGATGATAAGGCATATTTATATACCCTACTATAGCCACGCATAACCATGTTGTGCAGAAGCAAGAGCAGGCGGGTTTTGCGCGCTCATTTTGGGATGATCTCAAAGCCGTGCGACCATTGCCCTAGACGTTGCAAGCAAAGCAAACTGGGGAAGCTTCCTGTAAACCCCCCAAAGATGGCATGCAGCAAACAAAAACAACTGCAAGCCCAAGAAGGTCTTGGGTGTCTGTGTGTTGTTGTTTTTTTAAGGGTGGTCAGTGGTGGTGTTCTTCGGGGCCTGTGAAGCGTTCGGAGCGCACGCAGCTGAGGTCCTGTTCTCCAGGGTGAACCAGACCGAGACGGCGCGCTGCAGCCTGGAGAGGCTGCAAGCGCCCCTGGATCTGCTGGCCTTAGGCGCGCTCCGTGCCGGAAAAAAAAGGGGAGAACAAACAAAAAGAAGATCCGCGGCGACATGCGCGTTGCGTTGGAAGATGTGTGGGTGTTTGGCCCAATATTTTAACAGATAGGGCAAACTGCAGGCTTTAGTCTTTGGTTCCATTTACCAAGGCACCATTTTGGTACATTTGTTTGACCCACAGCCTTGTTTTGGCTTTTGGTTGAGGCAAGGTACCCTCTTGACCCTGGCCACCAGCTCGCGGAACCAAGGGGAGGCTGCTTTATGTTCAACCTTCTCAAAGAGGGAACCCAAAAGGAGTTTGTTTCGACAGACAAGTTAGCAACTAACCCTGAGCTGTTCCATTTGTTTTCTTTCTCTTTTGCCTTCGGTTTTAGCTTAGCATGGTGTGGCTCTAAGAGGACGAGAAATCGGGAGAACCCTGTGCTCAGCTTCAAAAAGCCAAACCCTGGTTCCCTTTGTGAACGAAGCGGACGTCGTTTAAACAGTGGATGAAACATCTGTCGTTCCAGAGGCTACCTTTCTTGGTTTTGTGTTTTTGAAGGGAAACCGAAAGGACCTCACCATCTTTCCAGTTTCCCCCCACAACTAGACACAACTTAGTTGTGGGCAGGGAGTTGATCGCCCAAGCCTTTCAAGAAGTCCCCCACTCGGGCGGGGCGCATAGCCCAGGCGCGGTGTACTACCGGCCCCCGAGATCACGGCGCTTCGGGCGCCTGGGCAGCACGCTGCTACCTTTGGACTCCCCGGATAGGCTGCAGGCTCAGGACTGGGGGGAGGAGGTGCTAGCCAGGTGTTGGGTCAGTGGGGTGTTTTTTTTTTTGGGGGGGGGATCCCTGCTGAGTTGTCTGTTAAAGGGAGAAAAGGCAACTGCCAAAATTTGGGAGTCGCAGTTTGAGACAAAACAGTAAGTGGCCAAGGCATTTGAGGGGTTCCCAAAATTACTTTGGTGGTGCCTCCTTTTTGTACTGTGCAGAAAGCAGTGGTTGGGGGGGCTGGATACTTCCCCACTCCCTACAGTGGAGGGTCTATGTGGCTCTCAGGGGTGGCACAGATCCTTCGCTAAAACGCGGGGTCCGATTGGTCCCATTGGAGCCACCATCAGGCCCTGGGTAGAAGGTTAGCAAGTGATAGTCCAGCTAAGAGGTACCGCCCTTTGAATTCTTGGCATGTTGGGTAGACCATTTTGATACCAAGTGATGTTTGTGCCTCATTTAGGCTCCCCAAAGCAAAGCGCCGATGCTCTCTCTATATTTTTATCTAGGGCACCCCTCAACATGACGTCTTTTTTGGTCTCCCTTTCGACCGAGCCTCAAACGGGCTTTTAGTTCCAGGTCCTTTGGGCAACTGAGTTCCATTTTGGTCACGGTTTTTTGAGCCACGGCCAAATGGGTCACCAAGTCTTCCCCTCGAAGCGCCGAGTCGAGGAGGTGCTGCTGCAGGAGGCCGGGGAGCTGCGGATCCACACGCAGCCGAAGCGCTACGGAGTCCAGCCGAGCCCTGGCTCCAACGTGGTCACAGCGGGTGGCGCGGCGTTTTTTTGCTTTTGTTTTTGGAGCGCGGGAGGCGTTTGTTTAATGGGAAAGCAACAAGGAAAAACACACGGTGTTTTGGGTGTGCCTTTTGTTTTGGCATGTGCGGTTTTGTTTTTCCCTCACTGCCTGACAGTTCCTGGACTTCATACTTTGGGGAAGACCATGGAAAATGGCACAAGTTGATACGGACTTGTTTTGGCCACGGAAGTGAGTTGAGAGCTCATTTCCAACGCCTCCCAACCACTGCTTCTTCCCATGTCCAAAATTCCAAGTGTCCCAAACGCAGTGGTTGGGAGCCAGGGGCCGGTTTGGATCGCGCTCGTTTTCCTTTGAACCATTCTGCTCACACAAAAGAGTCAACAAGAGAGAACAGATTCATGTATCCTTTAGTTCGTGGTTTGGATTGGTGGTTTGGGTATAGAGGGTAAATGGGAAACCACCCCATTGCACTAAACCACCGGGCTCCAAACCACCAATTGGAAGGAAGCTGAAGCATGTCTTACAATGGACCCAGGATCATCTCAGAGCAGCTCCACTTCTGCGGGGACTATGTGGTAGTGGACAAGCCTTGCGGCATACCTTGTGCCCCCCACGTCAGCAACGGACGTGACCCGGATTCGAGTGACGGCCTAGGGAGCCCTGGTTGGTGCGAGGTGAACCGAGCAAAATCCACCTGGTTGGGGCCGAGAAAATTCAGGGGGGATCCGCGTTTCACGGACTTTTGCGTGAATGAATCCGCATATCTCTCCTTTTCCTTTCCTATCCATCATCAACATCCTTTCATTGCCAAAAATCACACACACACAGACATATGCACTAGATTCATCTCAGATCCAATAGTGACATGTTTGTTGTGAACTTGGAGAGTAAGCCCAACTTTGGACAGATTGCGCTGGTGGACAGTAGTATATCCGGGCCAGCATTCGGGAAGCACTCGGGGACTCGGGAAGCACCATTCCTGAGGTTTCCTCCAAACTTATGTTGTATTTAAATTGTGTTGATGACACATGAAGCAGAATCGGAGCATATGACTTTTGGTGTACCTCAGAGTTTCGGGTTCCCCTGACTTGGTGATTGGTTTGGAGAATTCAACCCAGTACCTTGTTGCAGCCCCACCTAGCCAAGCCATTAGGGGTAGACTGGTTGGGCCCGTTCCAAGGCGAGTGGCTGATTCCTTTGGCCGCCGCAGCGGCGGCCGCGCGCCTGAAGCGAGGGCGAGAGCTGCGTGCCTGTCAGCGCTTGGACGTCAGCACTTCTGGGCTGGTGGTTTTGGCCAGGACAACTGTCCCCATGTTCTCTTTGTTACGGAAGGACTCCATTTGCTTAGTATTCTTTGTTTTCCCCTGTTGGTTTTAAAGGGGTCTTAACCAAATGGAAGGAAAGACTCCATTTGCTTAAGAGTATTCTTTATTTTTCCCCTGTTGGTTTTAAAGGGAGTCTATCACTACTGGACATATTCTTACTTTTTCCAGGGGTCTTAACCAGATGGAAGGAAAGGATCCATTTGCAGGCGAAAGCTTCCCGGCTTTCGCCGTGTACTTCTGGCCAGGACCAAAGCTGCCGCGGATCATTTCCAGCAGCTGCTGCGCGGTGGCCGCGTACGGAAGATCTACCGCGCCCAGATTCCAGGGAAGATCGCTTCTTGACTGCTGGGTTGGATCTGCCTGGAGTCTCCATGACCCTTTAAACATGGGTCAATGACCAACCATTATTTTGGGTAATGACCAACCATTTTGAAAGGGTCATGGAGACTCCAGGTGTAACCTTCAATCTCTTGGGAAGATGATTTTGTTCCCAACCCGCAACTCCTGCAAAAGTGCAAGACTTTTTGGGCAGGGATCTGTAATACTATTAACCTTCAAGCTCTTGGGAAAATGATTCTGTTCCCCCCCCCCCCCCCCGGCAAATCCTGCAAAAGTGCAACGTTTTTTGGGCAGAAGGGCCCCCATCAAGGCTTTGCTGCCAGAGCACCTGGACAACTGGATCTCCGACTCGGTCTTCGGGGTCCCGGCCCCGCGTCTCATCGCGCCCTTAGGCGCAGACGTTGAACACGGTACGCACAAGTGGCGCAGGGCGCAGACGTCGGTGCTCAGCCAACAACCCAGCCAAAAGGCAGGGCTTGCAACATGTGTTGAAAGAAAACCAGGCCCTGGTTTCGTTTCACGGAACAGCAAAAGGAGGCTGTGATTTTATGCCATGTGTTGTTCTGTTTTGAGCTCCGCAAAAAGGGAAACCACAAGTAGGTGGTTCAACAATAGGTGTTGAGGCTGTTAAAGCTGTGATTTAGCATTCCGATACAGAACAATGCCTGGCAAGGGAAACCACAAGGTAGGTTGGTGTGCAATACAAGGGGCGAAACAGCTATCAATAGTTTGCTCCTTCAATCATGACTATGTAGCCCATACCCCCATTCTAACTCTCACTTGCCCAATGCCAACCTTTGCACCTTGTGGTTTCCCCATGTTGGTCCATTTGTAGTCATGGTTAACCTTTCATTCCTAGGTCCTTTGGGCAACTGATTCTCAGGGAATGAGACATGGAATGACCCCCAAAAACGAAGAAATCCAACGGTTTCCTTTCAGGCAATCCAACCAAAACATACGTACCCAAACCCCGTTCCAACAAATTGGCCCCTATAAACCATCCCCTTTGGTTTCCTGAAACCCCTTTGGTTTCCTTAAACCTATGGCCCCACATCCCCTACAAACCAACCAAAACCGGTTCATCCCCACCCGGACTCGGAGGAGAAGCTGGAGCTTCGCCTGAAGTTGCACTCAGGGCGCACCCACCAGCTGCGGGCCCAGCTGTCCTCGCACGGCGCTGTGATCGATGAGGACCCAAAACCCGTGTCCAACCAAAATTTTGCGGCTCAAACCCGGAGAATCCACGTTGGAAGTCTGCCTACTGTGTTGCATGGTGGCAAGCCATTCGGTTCAAACCCGAAAAAATCCATGTACAGTCAGACAACAACTTTAGTCGGATCAATTTTGGGGAAATCTTTGAATTAGGTGAAGGTTGGAAGTCTCCCTCCCTACTGTGTTGCATGGTGGCCAGCCATTCGGTTGAAGCCCGAAAAGTTCAATGTATAGTCAGACATTAACTTTAGTCGGATCATTTTTGAGGAAATCTTTTGAATTAGGTGAAGTCTCGTCCCTACTGTGTTGCATGGTGGCCAGCCATTCGGTTCAAACCCGAAGAATCCATGTACAGTCAGACCACAACTTTAGTCGGATCAATTTTGAGGAAATCTTTGAATTAGGTGAAGGTTGGAAGTCTCCCTTCCTACTGTGTTGCATGGTGGCCAGCCATTCGGTTCAAACCCGAACAAATCAATGTACAGTCAGACAACAACTTTAGTCGGATCAATTTTGGGGAAATGTTTGAATTAGGTGAAGGTTGGAAGACTCGTCCCTACTGTGTTGCATAGTGGCCAGCCATTCGGTTCAAACCCGGAGAACCCATGTACAGTCAGACAACCGCTTTAGTCGGATCATTTTTGAGGAAATCTTTGAATTAGGTGAAGGTTGGAAGTCTCCCTCCCTACTGTGTTGCATGGTGGCCAGCAATTCGGTTCAAACCCGGAGAATCCATGTACAGTCAGACAACCGCTTTAGTCAGGTCAATTTTGAGGAAATCTTTGAATTAGGTGAAGGTTGGAAGTCTCCCTCCCTACTGTGTTGCATGGTGGCCAGCCATTCGGTTCAAACCCGAAAAAGTCCATGTACAGTCAGACAACAACTTTAATCGGATCAATTTTGAGGAAATAAATGAATGAGGTGAAGGTTGGAAGTCTCCCTCCCTACTGTGTTGCATGCATGGTGGCCAGCCATTCGGTTCAAACCCGAACAAATCAATGTACAGTCAGACAATAACTTTAGTCGGATCAATTTTGAGGAAATCTTTGAATTAGGTGAAGGATGGAAGTCTCGTCCCTACTGTGTTGCATGTTGGCCAGCCATCGGTTCAAACCCGGAGAATCCATGTACAGTCAGACAACAACTTTAGTCGGATCAATTTTGAGGAAATCTTTGAATTAGGTGAAGGTTGGACGTCTCCCTCCCTGTTGCATGTGATTTATACGGGATGTTTCTCCCACGGACAGGCATATATACCAGCAATTGACCCATTTGGAGGGTAGATGTGGGTATATATTACCTCTTGTCGCAAAATACGGGATGTCTCAAAATTGATGGTGTTCCTTTCGGTGTCCTTCTCAAAACCCTGAATCCTAAACCAAAACAAGTAGCCCCACATGTTTGGAGTTCGCTCATGTCTCAGTGGTTCAGTGGATTCCACTCATAGGTGTCGCTTGTGGGTCAGTTTGCTTGGACATTGGCAAGACTTTGGAGTCTCTGTTCACCACTATAAAACGAGGGCGCCATGTTGGGGTACTGTTGAGGTGGACAATAAGGGAACCGGGGTTTGAAACAGAATGTTTGGTGGAGTTACTAAAATTGTCCCGGTTTCATGTGAGTGGTTCCGTGACTCAGGGGTGCCAGGGTTTAACCAGATGTCCTTTGCACAGTCCGTTTGCTTGAAAGTGAGTTGCGCTGGCTTCAGTTTAGTTCCCATCATTTACCAGGGCCATCACTTTCTCCCAAAAGGAAGCCCAAGATTCCACCCTGAAAGCCCCTTTTGATTTGGTGGGTTCGGGACCCACAAACAATGGAATCAACCCCAAAAACAGTTGGCTCCTAGAACGAAACGTGTACATATGGTGAGAACCGAGGATAGTTTCAAGCCCCGAGTGCTCATAGACCACTCAAATCGAATTGGCCGAATTGGCTTCCTAGCGTTTCACTGTGTCCAACCCGTTCCTTTCGTTTGGGCCATTGGGTTCGGGAGCTGGCGGTCCCAAGAGGCAAGATCTCAGAATCTCACTCCCTGAGCTCTGTTCGGACTTTCTACTTTTGGGATTTGGACGTTATTTGGCAAACAACAAGCTTTCACGTTATTTGGCCAATCCCCACAGGAAGTGGGTAACTTCCATTTGCGTAAGAATATTTGTTATTTTCCCCTGTCGAGTTGTTTAATGGAATCAATCACTGGATTTGTTTCTATTTTTTCCAGGGGTCTTCTCCAAATGGAAGAGAATTGGCTCTCGTCTTTCGATCGGGGCGCCTACTCGTAGGACCGGCTGTATGCGCCCCTGGCGGGCTTCCAGTGGCTCTCCCCCGCGGACGACCCGGAGGCGGCCGAGCGCGTGGACCGAGGAGGGAAGGCGGCGGGGACCGACGATCCCATCGCGCTGCAGTGCTGTGAGGCAGTGGCCAACTGGCGGTTTACAAAGACCCTTGGGGTGTTTTAACAACTTGATTGGTATGCAACTTGGTTAACTAACAACTTGGTGGCTAAAAAACGAAGTCAAAGGGGAAGTCAAAGGAGGCTGTTTAAACAATAGTTGAACAAGGGCTTGAATCATCCTGATACTATACGGGGCCACATAAATGCAGACTTTGTTTTCCTATGATCATGATGTAAGTTGGTGCATGGTCCCATTCTAGGATGTTTAAACAATAGTGGTTTATTCATAGTTGGAACAAGGGCTTGAATTACCCCTGCGCGAGGTGAGCTTTGATGGTCTCACTGTCAGATCTGGCGAGCCCTGGTGGCGGGAAAAATCACGGGCATGACTCGACTGGCAGCTGACGACTGCAATTGCTTGCTGGTTCTCTGGAGGGAATCAAGACCGGTTTTGCGAATTAATCTGACAGATCCCCTGAAACGAAACCACAAAGAATGGTTGGGGTCATTCCCTGCTGAGAACCAGCAAGAAAGGACACCATGACTTAACCGATGTAGCAATTCTGCCAAAGCCAGGAGGTCAAAATAGCAAGCGTGTTGATGGCATTCGCTGCGTTTCACTGCTGGAGGCGCCAGGGTACCTGGACGACCCTGATCATGAGCTGAGAAACAGCACCTTGGCTGCATGTGGTGCTTGACTGGGTTCTAAATATCCCATTTGTTTTATGTTTCCCCAACGGAGACCAAAAGGGGACGGATCTTTTGTTGTTTGTCGAGACACTCTGTTCGGCACCCACTTGCATGAGCTTGCCTTTGGACCTTATTGAGGACTTGGAGTGGAGCGAGTTGACGCGGAAGGCACAGATGCGCGTTGCATTTCAGCAGACCGCTCTGGTTTTGCCGGTGCATTGGGGTACAAATTCAGAGGTACGTCCTACAACTCACCCTTCTCATCTCTGACTTTGTTCCGCCAAAGGGTGGCGAAACCACCAAGTCCTTAAGATCAGGGCCCCTTCCAAACTGCCCCAACTGATTCTCTATGGAAAGGCGATGGCCTGGCGCGGCACCACTGGGGGGTTACTTAGATGGCCTGGGAGTTGAAGCGCGTGGTTCGCTTTGGTTTGGTCTTGTTCCCAAAATGCCATGGTTGCAAGTGACCGAGAAAACCAGGGCCAAGCGAGCCATTGAGCGATTCGTTGAACCTCTAAGTACGTAAGTACAATCTCTGAGGTCCCATGTGGGTATGGGTCAAAATTAAACCACCAGGGGACCACAGGTTTTAGTCATTGTTTCCATTTACCAGAGTGCCATTTTGGGTACCTATTTTTGACCCACAGCCATGTCAGGGGACCCAATGAATACTGACCGCTGGCTGCACCAAGCTTCAGCCAGCGACCCTGCCAGGCGCTCCAGCTTTTGAAGCAGTTCCGCAGTGGTCGCCCGCGGCGCGTCTTTTTTGTCGGCAGCTACCGTGGATGGTTGTGAAATCCATAAAACGCACCACATATAAAACCCTGGTTTCTGATGGTTCCTTCTGTAAATACCAAAATGCTATGGCTTCAACCATGGTCTCAAAGTGGTGCGAAGGGATTTTGTACATCCGCAGTATGTCAGGTCACCCTGCACTCGGAATGGTCGAAGCGGTCAAGACCTGCTCATTCCTTCAAGTTGTGGCTATGAGTTCTAAGAGGGCACCTCAAAAGTGGTTTGTGGACATGAATCCTCACCCAAATGATGTGCAGCAAAGGGTCCCTACTCAAATTTCAGGGAGCATTTTGTTTGAGGGTACTTATTGTAGGGGTGCTCAGCCAATTTGAGCGGTTCCCTTTTCTCAGAAATGAGACGTGTGGTGAATAATTTCACTTGCAACTACTGGATACTTCCAAGCACGTCTAGAAATATGTGTTTGGAATGAGCGAAGTACCTGAGCTTGCCTTTGGACATCAATTTGTCGGCACAGCTACGCTGAGTGCCCAAGGACTTTGTTGAGCACACTTGAAGGAGTTGTCGCTCGCTTCTTGTACGCACGCGGCTTATGGTGGCGATCTATACAAACCTTTCTAGCCGTCTTAAGGGGGAGCCACGTTTGAGCGCCACTGGCCTGCTTCACAGCTGCTTCAACCGAAATTCCTGGCGTCTCCTCCAAAAGCATCTTATATTTTAGGGTAGACTCGATGCGTGACGAAATCTGAAAAAGCCATTTTTGGGTGTGCCACAGATTTGGGAGTTGATGGGGGGAGGGTGTCCCATTTTAGAAAGGAACCTTTGCTTTGGGAGAAACACACTTTTGACACATCCACCATTTGCCAAGTTCTTTGTTTCAGGATCGACATGACTTGCTGGACTTGGTGCATGCTTGCATTGGATTGATTAGGCGGGATAGGCTGGTTCAGACTGGCAGCTTGACGATTTTACATCCCAAGAAAGAGAATCCAAGGAAGGGGAATCGTGCAACCGTGACGGTACACTTTCGCAGATGGCAAGCACGACAGGACCTTCTTCTCTCAGTCGAACTGGATGGCACAGCGGCAGCTGAGGGACTGCTGTGGCGAGTTGATGTGTGGTGCGCATGCAATTCCCTAAAGATGCAGAGAACTTTTCCGCGGAGAACATGCAATAGTGCCACTGGTCTATGGTTGATTCGGGGAGAACACGGGGTCAGCACACACGTTCCCCAGGTTGCCCCCCAGTTGAAGCAGTTGTGAGCTGTGATTGTACAAGAATTTGGGGAACTCGCCCAAAGCCTTCCCGCAGGAGTTTGAAGATGATCCAACCATAGCAGCAAGGCGCGCCTAAGGCCCTAAGGGGTACCTTGGTGCATCTTGACTCTTGGAGCCTTTGGTGATCCGTGCATGCGAACGCTGCACGCGGAAGGCTAGCGAAGAAGAAACAGCATGAGAAGAAGAAGCAAGAGGAGGACTCTAGCAAGTTCCGCTGCACCCTCAGGAAGCAGATTGACTCTACTGTGGGGCTTAAGCAATTTGAGTGAGGTTGTGGGGGAATGTGAAGCCAAATCAAGTCATAGGAAAAACAACTGGAACAATCCGGCCCTGTGGATGAAGGGGGGGCAGGTTGGGGACAGAAACATCTTGGTGTGGAGGAAAGAAAGCGTTTTGCGGTTCAAACGTCGCCTTTGGGGGCCCTTTTAAAGGGTTCCCTTGGGGCACCTCAAAGCAACAAAAACACACGCACATCTGGGCTTGGCTTGGCTGCTACTTTCTTGGATATTTAGACTTTAGCTTTTTGGAATCTAAAGCTAGAGTTTTAGTCTTTAACTTTTAAAGCCAGTTTTTTGGATATTTGCAATTTTGAATCTTCCCACCGAAGCGCCAAAGGTAAGCTTGAAGGGATTCAGCCTCCCAGTAGGGACCCCTCTGGGATGTTGAATCAGAGTCCAACTCCTCCGCCCAGAGGGTCCCTCAATACTCCATTTACGTGCGGTTTTGGGCTTGGATTCCTCAAATCCACATATAACCGCGTGTTTGCAGGCAAGCCACTATATAGTGGGTATCCCTTTGGTATGGCTACCAGGTTTGACATTACGTTTGTTTGGCTGGTTACCTACTGTAGTGGCACTGGATCAGGTGCCCGGGGCTCTTTGCTGACTCAGGTTGGTTGTCATCTTGGTTCACCAGATCCAGCGAGGCATCCGAAGAGGCCAAGGCAAGGAAGCTCGATGATGACCTTAAATGGGCCGGAGTAGGTTCTAGTTGTTGCTTAGATTACAATTCTGGTAAGTGGGTTACATACAACCAGGGCAAAGCTACCCACTTAGCTAACTCTCAGACCATCCAAGTATGGCCAGGTCCAAAGAACCTGCCATTTTGGCAGAACCAACCCGTTTTGGGATGGTTTCAAAGGGACAGCAAAGGCAACCCCCCCCCCCCCCCCCGCGACCCCCCCGGCATTTTGGGGTGGCCCACACATAGGTCCTTCCGCCAGGCACATGCAGATGACGCACATCGACACGGGTGGTGACATTCGGATTCACCTGGTGAAGTGACGAGATGCTCAAGAGAGAACAAGTAACAGACATATTTCATGCAGACTAGCACATCATTTGAAGAAATACACCTAATAATTATATATTTTTGCGGTTGGCAGGGCTGGCATGTGTCCCAAGCGCTTGTTGAGCAGTCCTCAGAGTAGCATTGGCAGCCTCCCAAGAGGGATGCCTTAGTGCCTCAGTTCCGAGTATTTTGCTGGACTTCGCCTCTGATTTCGCAAGAGGCGTTTGACATTGCCACGGGTGTCAGGCTGTCATTGTCATGCGAGTCCTGAAAGAGATAGCTTGCCTTGAATAGTTCTGGTATCCCAGATTTACCCCTAGCCCAGTGCCATGGTAGCAATCACATTGCGTTTCTGGAGATCCGAAGATAGTTGCTACATGGGTCCGGAATGAAATCCTTCGCCCTACGGCGGTCGGCACCGTGCGCGCTTCGGCGTGAGACACGTGGGTCTGATGCTACGCGCATCTCCCCACGCATCCGCCGCGCGGGCGGCGCGCTCCGCCGGTGGCGCCCAAGGTTGGCCGCGGAAGCCGCGGTCTGGTGCGGTTTGTGAAAAGTGGTGCGTGCGGTTTATCACATGTGACCTGGCAGTGCAACGGAGAGGCACCTCAAGTGCATCCGGTTGCCCGAACTTGCTCGCCATTTCCAGACAAGAGATTGGTCATGCCAGTCCAGGCATATCTGTCCATATCTTTCCAGCATCGCACCTTAGCCAACTGGACAAAAGAGCTTTTGAACGAGGGGCCACTAGCGTTTTGCCTATGGCCGGACGCCAAAAGGCGTTTGCCCGCGGAGCGACTTGGAGAGAGGTCCCTGTACACGTTCTGGTTTCCCGGTGAGGCAAAACCTGTCACCCTTTGGACCAATTTGCCCCCCCCCCCCCCAACAACAGCTTTTTCCCATGTCCAATATCGCAAGTAGTGTCCAAACAGCAGTGGTTGAGGATGGTTGAGGGGTGATGCTTTAACAGTGACAAATCAGGAACCCTCTAGTGCGGCCCAGTGACCCTTTGACTATGGATCGGAAGGCACTCCCTGGCTGAACATGTGTGGTTGGGATGACATGGGATTTCTGGCCCTCGCGGTTTATGAGTGCCTGATTCATCAAGACCCCCAGAGCAGCTCGAGCAGACAAGGAAAGGCAGGGTCTGACCATGCCTGGCCTTCCGGGCTTGTTTCAACATATGGGAACACACAAAATGGAGACCTGTGGTGTTTCGATCAAACAACCTCTGGCGGGTTCCCCTCAAAAAAGACACGCACATTGAACTTTGGATTTTGCCCAGGGTGCACACTTGAACAGACTCATCAAGGATCATAGATTGGCCGACTGCACATTTGCAGTGTGTCATGTTGCAATGATACGATACACCACGTGTGAGTCAACAATATGACATGAGTGATGTAGCCACAGTGATTCCTGCCTGATTTTGCTTTTAAGGATGCAAGTTCGAGTGATTTTGACATTTGAGCACCCGTGAAACTCGATGTTAGGTCCACAGCAGCAGAGATGGTAGCATAGACTTTGGATTTCTGGGTTTCAGCTGCCAAACGCCAGTGCCATGGTCTACAGATTTACATTCCTGATCCTTTAAAGAGGAACCGGTTGGCCCGTTCGGGGATCCATCACGGGCCTTGGGGCCCAGCACAATGATGT